CCCACATGCTGTTGGCCCAAGTCTGAGGTGTTACTGTTCCGTGGTTGTGAACTTTACTCATCCTGTTCCTGAAACAGCCACTCAGCTGCACCCAGGGCTGGCCAGGTAACGTTTTGCAGCTTGGATGGAAAATTCCCTCGTTGCCATTAGGGAGATGGCAGGATGCTTATATCACATCCTCTGCCCTGATAGTGCCCCTATTTGCTCACCATCTTCCTCCTCCTCTCATTCTATACTCTGATGTGTTAGTCTTCCTTGGCTACACAATTTAATTGCCTTAGATGGCCCCTTCTAGAAAGAAAATCAGAATCTTGGACTGGGGGCAGGTGGAGAGCGGGGGCAGATGTCTGTATGACTTAAAGCTCCCCAGTGATTCTGGTGTGCAGTCCCGGTGGGGAATTTCAGCATGCAGACATCCTGCCACATCGTCTTCTTCCAACAACCACAGACAGCAACACAGGTTGTCTTCAGTCCCCTTTCTCTTCCCTTTATTTGCTGTTGGTTACTAGTACCTAGAGTTTTAGAGATTTTCTGGCCTGCCATTTTTCAGGCCATGCAGGACAAAAGTCATCTTAAGACTGAGGGCTTTCGGAAGCGGCCTCATGGCTTTCACCTGCATCTACGATGCATCAGTAATAATAACCCTTGGCAAGACAGGTTGGTAGCACTTGGCATAACTAAGCACTCTTTATGTGATAACTCACTTAGTCTTAGTAACGAGGCTCTGGGAGATGTATAGTTACCCTGTTTTCCAGATGAGGAGTCTGAGACTCAACAACTTGCTGTGGTCTCCTGGCTAGTCAGTTCTCTATCTGGAATTAGGCTGCAGTTTTTTTTTTCTTTTGTGCATTTTTTCATCTCAGTTGTAACCCCTATGGGCTTCCCATCACCAAATCACCCATGTGCCATCACCAGAGTCCAGTGCATTTCCCTCCCCCCACTACTTTTTTTTTAGATTGTAAAATATTTTTTAAATTTTATAATAGTTTATTTTTACATATTTTTGTGCATTTTTCTATCTCAGTTTCAATCCCCTTAGGTTTCCCATCACCAAATCACCCATGTGCCATCACCAGAGTCCAGTGCATTTCCCTCCCCACACTGTTTTTGATCCCATTCCCCACTCCACCCTCCATAGAATGTTTCTGGAATATAGCTGTTCATTGTTATCACTATTTTCACCCCTGGTTCTTTATACTTCTGCTATGAGTGAAACCATCCAGTATTTTTCCTTTTCTTTCTGGCTTATTTTACTAAGCATGATCTTTTCCAGCTCCATCCATGTTGCTGCAAAAGGCATGTGCTTATCTTTTTTGGTTGCTAAGTAATATTCCATTGTGTATATGTACCACATCTTTTTAATCCAGTCATCCATTTTTGGGCATTTGGGCTGTTTCCATGTTTTTGCAATTGTAAATAAAGCAGCAATAAACATGGGGGTGCAGGTATCTTTTTGAATCAGTGTTTTTATGTCTTTTGGGTAGATACCTAGGAGTGGGATTGCTGAGTCATATGGAAGCTCCATGTTTAGCAGTTCGAGAAACCTCCAAACAGTTTTCCATAGTGGTTGTACTAGTTTGCATTCCCACCAGCAGTGCAGGAGAGTTCCTTTTTCTCTACATCCTCTAGGCTGCACTTTTTAACTTTGTACTGTGTGACCTCAGAGTATGGTGGTATATCCTGGACAGAGTCGGTCGGTCACCTTCATCTCTTAGTTTGCAGTGGTTAACTCAGCTTTGAGGAACATTCTCATCAAATCACTTGAGCTGTGCAGCTCACTTAAAATTTTTTTCCACCTGTGAATCAGTTCTGAAACAATAAAAAGGCTTTCTCTGTACCTCTAGTATTGCCACAAGACAAGTAAGTGAATAACGTAGGTCGTTTCAAGTTTTGCTGAAGATTGAGTTACATATGCTTTAGCTGTGTGTGTGTGAGAGAGAGAGAGACAGAGAAACACAGAGAAATTATGAATATTGCTTAGTGCAGTGAACTTGTTCTTTTTTACCTCAAAGATTAAAAATATAAGAATTTTTTATTTCCTTTTCTATTCTATCCTATTCTATCCACCCTATCCTCTAAGAAATGGTCTAATTATTCTCATACGTTCTCTTCCCTTTCCCTGATTAGGCTTTATTTATTATTTTTAAGCTACACATAGTCACAAGAAAGCATGTTTTCTGTGGCTTCTATTCAGATATGATATGTGAAGTGTTCTCATGCTTTCATAAAGACCCAATAGATGGAAGTCTGCAGTGTTTCATCTGGACTGTTTTGACTATAAAAGGGAAGAAAAGTATTGGTATTTTAAAAAAGTTCTTCAAAGCCATTTTCCAGTGTTTTCAACAAAAAAATTTCTTAATGTCCATATGACATCATGATTTTATAAACTTTTATTATTTGTTTTATGTATCCTAAAGCAGGTCAAGAATAGAGTGTTCAATTAGTTTTGATTTTTCAACTTCACTACTAGCACTAAAAAATGTCAACTAACTTGGCCCTCCCTGGTGGCGCAGCTGGTTAAAGCACAGCACTGAGAATCTAAAGCCACTTCCGCATGAGTTTGATCCCTGCCTGCCCCGGAGGTGACCACATGGCGTGGCAGACCTCTCCTAACCGCCCGCTGCTCCCCTCAGCAGTGTACTTCGTAGATCTGCCTGTTCTGCTCCCCACTGTCTCTGGTGAAGCCTCTCACCACCCCTGAGCCTCTGGCCTGTACCCCAGTTCTGTACGAATAAATAAATCTTTAAAAAAAAAAAGTCAACTAACTAAATCAAAATCTCCCAATAATATGTGTTTAATTCCCCCCCCCCAAAATAAGATATAACAGTAAGATTTGGTGTCATACCATATCACCTAGTACTTAAAAATGTCAACTAAATTAAAATCTCTCAATAATATGTGTTTAATTAAAAAAAATTAGATATAACAGTAAGATTTTGTGCCATACCATCTATCACCCTGAATTGCTTATTGCTTGTTGTTTTCTATTAAAATGTTGGTGGTTTTCAGAATCAAGGACAACTTCCACTCATTGTTGGGACATATGTGGTGACACAGAGGCCTTCATTCTGTGAGCAACCATTTTCTGTCACAAATTAATTATTTTTAAAGGGCCACATATTTACATACATATATTTAACTGTTTTATGGGCTGTCTAATTTTCAAGGATTCTTTTTGGGTGTAGAGTTAATAATATTGTCTATTCATTTTTATTTAAATGACCTTGGGGTGCTATTGGCTAAGGCCTCTACACATTGGTGGTATAATCCCATAGATACTCATCTGAAGAACACATAAACACTAATCCAAAAAGTTGTGTGTGGGCCCATGTCAATACAGCATTCTTCAAGTTGTGGAAATAGCCTGAGTACTCATTGGCAGCTATTGGAAAAGGACAATGTGGCATACAAACACAATGGAATAATACCTGGGTATCAAAACAAAAGGTGAAATTCTGCTACCTGCAATAACACGGACAGACCTAGAGGATATTATGCTTGGTGAGAAATAAGTCAGATGGAAAAACATGAAACATTATGATTTCACTCATCTGTGGAAGATAAAGAAACAAATGACCTAACGGAACAGAAGGAGCTCTTAGACTGTAAGAACTTTTTATAGTGGTTACCAGAAGGGGGCGGGGAGAGAAATGAAATTGATACATTGGGTAGAAGGGGCCAATTGTATGGTGAACAGTGCAAACTAGATCTTTGGTGATCAAAGGATTGTGGAGCTCACAACACTGGTTAATAATGCTGTAGACATTGGTTAATAATGCTGCATACCCTGTTATACAGCGATCTTCAGTTACAAAAATGCAATGATTTGAATTTTAAGTTTCCATCCTATCATCATAGCACCTGTTCAAAACCCTTTGGAGCAGGATTGGAAGAAACAAAGATGCACATTCCCACCTCAATGGCTTGCTTCTGGTATGGCTAGAATTATGCACCTCTAGATTAACCTCTTTTTGGGGTTTTATTGAAGCCATTGGGTTCAGATTTCTTGTTTCTACCTTCAAACTACTCATAGAAGTAAGGAGCTCTATTTATTTATTTATTTATTTATTTATTTATTTATTTATTTATTTATTTATTTATTTATTTTTTGCTAAAAAAAGCAGAGCTCTTTGTAGAAGAGTATTGAAAAATTATAAAAATCCAACCTAATGTATCCCTGGCTCTCTGGTACCAACCCAGGTGTTGGGGCGGGCTGGGCCGTAGCCAGTAGGCCCCCTGAGAAGTTCTGCTCCCTCGCTAGCCACTGGTCATCTCTCTATTCCAGCCTGAAAGGCCCTGACCACTATATTCTTGGCAGTGATGTATAAAACTGGTTTTGGCTAAAAGATGAACGTGGGTATTTGTGGCACTCTGTTTTTCTTGTAATAGAGGATTTTAAGTAGAAAACTGCTGATTTTATCCCACATAATTAGAAATATTTCAAAAACAGTTCACAGATTTTTCCAACTCAGTGAAGTGAATCTGACTGTGTTTGCTTGTTCTTGGTGATAGCAGGCCTTGCCTGAAAATTTGTTCTTAGCTGTGTGCTCAGAGCATAAATTTTCTGCCTTGTGGATAAAGCAGATGTGTGGACATGCTGACTGTATCATAATATCGAATATGGAAATCCATTTTACTTTCTGGTTTGAAAAGGAATCTCTAAGTACAGCATCAGGTTAGTGGTGCTGGAATTAACTTCTGGGAACATACACCTGTCCCCTTGCTCAGGACAGAGAGAAGCGACTTGTTACCGGTCACTTAAGGCTCTTGGTCTTCCCCATGTCCTGGAGAGGACTGAGAGTCCTTGGTGTAGTCACATCTGCCATGTTCTTTTTCCTCCTTTATTCTTAAAAGCAGAAGGCCTTTTTCCCATGGCTTCTTTTCTACCCCACCCCCACCCTGTAATCATCCGTGGGGGCTAAGGCTAATAGTCTTCCCAGGTTTCCCTACAGTAAACTTGAGACAGTGTTGTAATTTTGCTTGCTTTCTTTTTCTTTCAGCAATAGGCGAATATGAAGACCTTAGAGCAGAGAACCAGAAAACAAAGGAGAAGGTTTGTGCTTTACCCTTTTTTCTTTCCTTCCATGTGTAACAGCCTCGATGGCATGGTGCATTGTTCTGCCACCAATTTCAGTTAAATGCGAATGAGAGTTTTTTTTTCCTTCTTTTCTCCTGCATGTGTAGTTCAAGCTAATATCAACTCCAGGCTCCAGATGGTGAAGAATAGCAGGCATGTCACAGTGGGCGCTGCTCTGGGAGATTAGCCGCAAGGCTAAATGTGCATTGCGGCACCCGGCCAAACAACTTAAGCCCTCAAGAATGGTACTTTTTCCCAACAGTCAGACTTGGGAGTCTAGTGATGGAATTGAAGCCCTGAGACAGTTACCTTTGGGACTTATACATACTAGGTTCTTGGGGAACCCCTTGAAATTTGTCACTGGTGTTTAGTCAATGCCTTCATAAGCCTTTTGTGTGTTTGCGCCCTCTAAGAATATGAATAAGAAGTTGGAAAACACCAAATGTGGAGGTGGGGATGCTTGATAACTGTTTTTCAGAGCTCAGGCAGTTTTACGTTTTAACTGTTAAATAATTGAATTCTCATTACCTTTGCTAACCATATACCTGTTTATTGCTGAAAATGTCCACTTGAATGTTTGCTTGTGTGTGTGTGTGTGTGTGTGTGTGTGTATGTATTCATATACCCCCTGTAAATTTAGGGGGCAAATGGAAGAAAAGGGAAAAGTTAAAAAGTAGAGGAACTGCGTGGAATGTAAAAAGCTGCAGAGAGGAAAACTATCCACTATTGTTTTTAGATGTGAGATTTATTATTGAGAACTTACTTTGATAGACTGTATATTTCAAAACATCGTGCCCATGGTGGAAAATCAACCAAACAGGCACACTGATGTTATTCAAGAAGGTGTTAATGATTGCTGTAAATTATAAAATCTCACTTTCAGATTCTCAGAGTACAAGCTATAATGAAAGTTGGCAGTGAGATAAAAATTTTTAAAACTTATGTTATATTTTGGGTGTATTTATTGTGCTTTCAACATCATATTTAACAGCTTATTTGTATTTGCCACCTATGTGACTTGGAATATTAGTAGTATTATTGTAATGTACTTTAGTTCAAAGCCAGCCGCATGAATTTTTAGATGATTACTTTTCATCCTGTTTAGGTACCATTGCTTATTTGTAACTAATTCCATTGCTTATTTGTTCCTCTTAAGTTTCCTCTCTTACCTCATCAGTTGATTCAGGGAGTGGTGGGTGGGGGTGGTGACATTACCTACGTTACAAGGCAGCATTAGCCACTTCTTACCTAAAATAAGGTCACAGAAAATAAACAAGATTTTGCAGTCTAACATGTAACTGCTCAAATCATAGGTGTCCTAAGGATGCCAGCAGGTGAGCCGGGGGTGCCTGGATGATGGTCCCTGATACCCCATGTTTCCAAAGTGCAACTAGTGGATGTTGCTTAAACCAGATAGTTTGAGGGCCCTCAGTGGTGGCGCAGCGGGTTGAAGCACAGCACAAAGAAGCTTAAGCCACTTCCGCATGAGTTCGATCCCCACCTGCCCCAGAGGAGATGCACATGGTGCGGCAGACCTCTCCTGACCCGCCCGCTGCTCCCCTCAGCAGTGTACTTCGTCAGTCTGCCTATTCTGCTCCCCGCTCTGTCTCTGGTGAATCCTATCACCCTCCACATCTCTGGCCTGTACCCCAGTTCTGTATGAATAAATAAATAAATCTTAAAAAACAAAACAAAACAAAACAGATAGTTTGAGCTGCTTTCCCTAAAGTGCCCAGAATTCTCCCAGCTCCCGAATGAAGAGCCAAGATGTTATGACTCAATTGAGTTTCTTCCATAGCTGCTTCTTGCCCAAGAGGGGAAGAGCAAAACAAGGTGGGAGGGTTAATTTGAGACCCCTTTGACTTATCTTGGAGATGAGAAGAAGGAAACAAACCAGTGTCTTTCCAGGAATGAGAAAGGAGGGTGTAGAAGACCCTGAGTAATAATGTCAGGAAAGTACTTTCTGTTTTTTAATTCTTTGCACCTGACTTACTTAGCCCTAAAATAGTAGAGGTTCTGTCAACATCTATTGTTGGTAGTAATGATGGCTGTTTAACTGAGGCCACTTTCTACAGTGAGGCTTTTCGTGAACCATCTGTTATGCAAGTGGAATTATAGGTAAAATGCATTTGGTAAAAGAAGAATTATAAATTACCTCCACCTATTAACTGTTTACATGTTTCTATACACAAAGTATGACTGATACTTTTGTTAACATCTGTATGCACATTGACCTACTTCTGTTCTAATTCTTTAAAAATAACTATTAATAGAAATGGGAAGGAAGGAAATGGAAGCAATATGGAATGCTGTGTGGTTGGGTGAAACAAAGTACAGGGGTTTTAAGTTCACTGCACCCTGTTTATCTCTGTTAAAAGACTAGCAGGCTTATTACTGCAGATTTTTCCCCAAAAAGGGGGGCTGTATTACAAAGGAGGGAAGCATATAATAAAAGCCTTTTATGCAGCATAGAATGAGTAAAAGCAGCTTTAGTTCCGGAGGTGGTAAATGGAGAACACCATTTTCTCTGGCAAAGCGCTTTCTTGTGCCTGGCAGGGTGAGCTTTGTTCCGTCCACTCCAGCAAGCACATCAGCAAACACGCATGGTCATCCTCACCTCATGGCCCCAGCGGAGGTCAGTCACATCATCCAAGTATGGGCACAGCAAGCGAGACTCCCCTGGCCCTACCTGATTCGATGTGGGCAAGTTTTCATGAGTGAGAGGGAGCAAAAACGAAAACGAAAACCAAAAACAAAAACAAATTCCAAGCTATTCTCTCTTCCACATGCCCACGTGAAATCTACCTGTCTTTGTTGCCAGGTTTTAAGTTTCATCATAGGGAGGAGATGTGGGTGTGCTTCCTCTGGTGAAGGTGATTTTGTGCCCTCGTTGGGGTCTCCTCCCCTGGAACAGGCATTGGACACCAGGGTGTGATGGTCCTCAGAGCAGGTGCTCACTGAAGAGGCTGCTCACTGAGGAGCTGCTGTGGCTTATGTGCACACACACCCTCTCTGACCGGATGCTCCACACAGCCCCATTTCACGGAAAACGGGACCTCAGGGCTGACGGAGCCTTCCCCGGACTCCAGGGACAATGAGAGACAAGAGTCAGGATTCAAAGCTGGGTATTCTGACCACAGGTGCTCTTTGCAAGCAGTTGCACTCACAGGAGCTAATTTCCTTTTCCCACAAAAGTCCCAGTTTTATTCTTAATGCTTCCATGTTAGCTCATGAATTTTCCACAGCAAGTTACCAAACGCATACTTAATGCTTTTCTGGATTATTTGCCTTTGTTTCCTGCCAGGGTTTATTCGAAAATGGAGTGCTAAATATCAAGTCAGTTGTATGTCAGAAATACTCACCTGTGTGTGTGTGTGTGCACACACACTTGCAGGTACGTCCTGACACAGTGCATTCCAGGGGTAAGAATAGGCTTAGAGGGTGGACGAGTGCTTAGTGGCCTTTCTTTGCAGCTTTCCCTTTGGAAGGAAAACGTTATTTGTGGATCATTTGTGTTTTTTTAAATCAGTATCTTCGAAGACAGAGTCAGAACCTGAGTTTATCAGGAAAGCTTTTTTGAAAGGAAAACTTTTTGTTGAATCCTTTCCGAATGCCCAGATGTAAAGAAAAGTACATGAAGGCCCTGCTGTAAGGAGGGATACAGGCACGTTGATGAATAACTGTGATAAATTGGGATATTATGAAGAACGCCTAGAGTTTGGGGGTGGGATGGGAAAGGCCAGAAAGACAAGGTCCCTTGTCTTTCACATGACAGATTCACACTACTCTTTAATGTTTGCCTTAACTGCCATTTATTTTTTCCCAAGTCTTCTCTAACTTTCTCAAAAGCAAAATTGTTTTTGGCTTTGTAGTAAGACATTTGGATATTTCTTATCCCATTTTATCAGCCATAACTCATTGTCATCAGAGAAGGAACATGTGAGTGGTATGGACTGGAATAAAATGTAACACTTTAGGGGTTTTGTGTTTTGACATATATGTACGTGTGGGTATATACGCATGTTCTTTCTTACCTAACATTAAGATTAGTGAAGACATATTTTTTGCTTCAGTTTTAAATAGCACTAGCACAGTATGTTAATTAGTCTTAAAACCTATTACATTAAAGTCGACAGCACTTCCAAATGCATTTTTTTAGGGATGGAAGGAGAGGGCAATGTACTTTGGAATCAAACCCATGAAATGTTTTACTTTGCTAATGCCGCAATCACCATATTCAAATGTTACTCATGCTTCTACAATTGAAGGGCATTTCTTATGATTCATTCAGAGTCTTTGTCATAATTGTTTGGTGTCTTTTTTTTTTTTTCTATATGGGGGGCAAACCCTCATCGAGCTTTTAATGGAATAGCTTTTACATTACCCAGGGTGGTGGGGGTGTATGTGCAGTATGCATAAAAAGCAGGCAATCTGTATAATAGAAGAATGTCTTCTTTAAACAGTAAGTATTTATGTTTAATATTATGTCCTGAGATCGAGTTTTGAAATGAATAAATGTTTAAGTGGCTGATTAGAAGTCGTTTGGGTGAGCTACTGTAACAGTACATCAGGCGGTCTGTCAGCTTGCCAGGAACAATGAATGAAAAGAGAATGAGACAGGCACTTTCCAAGACTTACATTTCAAGAAGCAAGATATATGATCCTGTTTGCATCTTGGCTCAGTTGTCTAATGTTAAAATTTCTCCCGCTTGGGTGAGTATCAGAGGTGAAGGTCCCAAAGTATTTTATTTAAAAAGATAGAGAAGCTACTTTAAAGAACGAGATATGCATCCATTATGCTAACTGTTCATGCATAATACATCCACATACATGCAGTTTCTTTAGAACAGAGTGGCAGTGGTTGTGCCAGAGAAAAAGTAATTACTTAGCAGTTTGAAAGTGAAAATGAGTCTCCTATTAACAGCAATCTATCCAGAAACAAAGAGCAGGGAGCTCTGTTCTGATGACATGTGTTTCCATCTACCACACAATACCTAGAATTTGGAGAATGCTGTAAGACAGCTTTGGGGGGGCAGCTACTACTTTATTGCCTGTGAAAATTGGAGGGAAAGAACTTTGAATTGGAAGAAAGAACACCACCAAAAGAGAAAGAGTGAAAGGAATTCCATTCTAGTGGGAGCGATTTAATTGATTGTGTCTTTACAGTGCAGGGAGTTCCAGCCAAACCTGCATAGGTGCAATCACAGGATGTTGGTTATTTTTCACAATGATGTGTTGGCTTTCAGCTGCATCCCAAGACAGGTAGCTGTGTACAATTCTGAGGCTGTCTATACAGGTTTAAATTTTTATACACTCTAACTGGATGAAAAGGAATGAGCTTCAAGAAAAAGAAGCCACCTTTCCTGTCTTCTATAGTGCAGTGTTGTTCTGATGATGGCAAATGCCCTTGTAAATGGCTTGTTTCATTTTTGACCTTTCCGGGTAGATCACACTTTTTGTGAGGACACATTGTCTGTTGGGTCCCACTGCATCTCCCAGTGCTTAGCACAGTACCTGGCACTTGCACAGATACTTTGTTCAGCGCTGGAGAAGGAAGCAGACAGTCAGAGATTACAAACATACCTGCGCAGAAGTATGACCCAGGCAACTGTAACGCACTGGCCTGTCATGGGGTGTCCATCCGGATACTGGTGTGTATATGAAGCGCTTGTATATACTTCTTACGCCCCGAATTAGCCTCGTTTTAGGGTGCCAACTCTCCACTGTGCAGCAGGGAGATGAAGAAGAATGTTTATGTTAGTGGAAGTTTGATGCAATTCAGAATGTTGGTTTCTTTTAAATAGTCATACAGTAAAAATCAAGATGCTTTGGTATCTATTTCGGTTACCTGTGCTTCTGCTGGAAACTTTTAAGTACACGTTTTAGTATAAATACTAGTTGGATGATATGTGAGAGCCAAAGAATGGAACTGCCCATTATGATGGTGTTAAAGTGGGGAGTGGGGTGTGCCAGTTCACCCTGGAAAGACTTTCCTCTGCAAATAGTGAGCCAAGGCTTTGAAATGATGGTTTAGTTTCAGAAGCCAGGTATCTGCCTGGATGAGGCTCAAGGAAGAGATCTGGAAAATAGCCAGGGCTTCTAATACTAAGAGCTTTCAAAACCCGCAAGGCCAACCTCTGGTCAATTCACTGCTTCATCAAGAGCCAAAATAGAGACTCAAATAGAGGTGATGTTATCCAGCTTGCTTAATCCGGCCAGCGCTCTGCTGCTGGGTTCTACCCTAGCCTTGAGCTACGGAGAATCATGGGGCATCATAATTAAGTGATGTGGGCCCAAGAACATCTGTTGCTATTGCAGCCTTTCTTCGTGAGCAATTCTCTCACAAATGAAGCCGTTTCTACAAATGGTGCAGCTGCAAGAGCAGGATAGAGGAAAGGGTAGGATGGGTGAGGGGCTTGTACGGGCCATAAAGATGGGACAGTCGTCTGGAGAGACCCAGAGTCCCTGCTCACTTCTCTCTGTTGGTAGAGTGAGAGAAAAGTTACAGGATTAATTTTCTGGGTTTACCTGAAATGATGTAAGTGGATGGTTAGACTTCTGCTTAGTAAATGGATATGTCCTTCGTGTTTTGTTCAGCACTGGTTTGGAATAAGTAAACTGCATTTGCAGCTTGTGTGGAGACAACCCCCCCCCCACCGCCACCTCCCCACAACACCCCTTTCAGTATCCATGGCAGATGGTAAATTCTGTTGCTGCCAGTTCTATCATAATATGGTTGCAGAAAATAGAAAGCACAGCGACATGAAGACTTCTGATAGAACACAGCTGGGGTTGGGAGACAGCTTCTGAATCTGCTGGTAATGACTGTAGATAGGGTGCATGTGACATGTGACGCACATGGCCGGTCCAGAGAAAGTGGTTCCTGCACGTTGGAGTAAGACCGATGTTGAGACCTGTTCTTAGCCAAAGCCTGTCTGCCTGGGCCTTCTGAGTAGAAAGCATAGGCATGCAGTTTTTGCTTGGGGCTGCAGGTACATATCTACCTAAGATTTTTGTGAGTCGTTAACGCCTGTGAATGGTAGCTGTACTGACGGTTTCTGTCATGTCATTGGCGGCCCTTGGGCGGTCTGCATAGGCAGAGTACAGTCCTGTTTAACTGCTCTTGTCATGTAAAGTCTCCATGAAAACTCTGGCTGTTTAAGTGAGAGCTCAGTTAACCTCTTGTTCCTTCGGGGGAGCTCTGAGAGCTGGATAGAGGAATCAGGTGGCATTAAGTCCACAACATTACTCCCTAAGCACCAGCTCGCAAGCAAAAGAGTGTCACAAGGCACTTCCTTCTGAAATGCCAGGTCGAGAAACACGAAATTAATTCCAGAGTCAAATAGATACCTTTCGTTTGGCAGTCATAACTCAGGAGTTTCAGACTGGTGAGAACTTGTTTTTCTGTGCCTTCGACTAGGCTGTGAATTGGTGGAGGTGGGGCACTCAGGCTGGCAGAGAAGTACAAAACAAGCAGAAGTTGCATTCTGGAAAGCAGAGGACCGTTCCTAAAGCAGCTCGCCAGCAGTCTCTCGAGAGTGAGCATTACTCTGGCTGGCTGGCCTGCTTGGGTTGGCGCAGTCCACTTGGGTGGCAGAAGGACCTAATAAAGCTTATTTGACAAGTCAGAACTATAGTGTTTAGAATTTTAAATACTAGAAAACACTAAATACAGTTTACCAGTTAAGCTAGAGCTAGAAACTACATTGGAAAGAATTATTTTTTTAATAGAGAGTGGATTTCTACAAGAAAAGGATCTCGTTGAAGGAATATGCCCTTTCCTTTAGGAGATCATCATTGGCCCGGCCCAGCCCCTTCTTGGAGGGTCTGAGTCAGGATTAGTAAAGAGCTCCCTAGTCAGCACAGTGTGCTTGTTGCCTGCCTCTTGCCAGAATGAATTCACCCCCGTGTATAGACATAGGTTGGGTGATTTATTTTTTTAAGGTTTGGTAATTTGTGGGAGACTAGAGGAGAGAACTGAATGCTTGCTTCTTAATTTTTTTATTTTAAGAGGCCAGAATAGATAATAAATACATGCCATGCAGAATTTTTTGGAAGTTAAAATGGTGCAGATAAAATCAAAGCTCCCCAGTCTGTCGCCCTCCCTAGCTTATAGGAGATGATGACTGTCGTGCATTCCTCATGGATCCCTTTGTTTCATGTTTTTATATTTGCATGTGTGCCATACGTGTCACGAGCTAGACATAAATACAAAATGTAATGATATATATATAAAGTGCTTTTGTGAGCTTAAGGGAGCGTGTCATTTGATATCTGTTCTGTACCTCATTTTCCACACATTATGTTTTTTGAGGCTAATCTATGGTGATTCAGGCTACTTTAGTGCAGGTTCAGTCAACAGCGTTGTTAGGGACGATATCATGATTTCATATTTTTATAAATGCTGAACCTACTTGTATAGATCATTGTCTGCCCATCACTGGAGACTCTTGGCAGTGGACACTAGACATGGAAGAGCTGGATGACAGGGTGCACACGGCTCCCATTTTGATGGTTTACTTCAGGTAGTACATGCCTTCGACACGTCTCCCAGACATTTTCAGTGTTAGCCTGCCTGTTAAATGACAATCTCACGATTTTAAGGGGATAACCCGTGGCCCTGGCCAGCTTGTTTTGTGAAGGGTTTTAGATTTTGGGTTTTCCTATTTATCTGTTTCATCATAATTTTTGACCTTTGAAATGAAAAATATGCAAAGGCATAAACTCCGAAAATATTTGTCTGCCGTGCTAGGGTTCAAAGTAGGCTTAAAAGTTGTATTTTACTCATATGATCTTATTACTGTCATAATAGTGTCACCACAAAATTAAAATGTCAGTTACCACCCTAACAGCCCCAACTCTCTAACTCTTTAAAGTTTGAGACAGTTTTAATGAAAAGCTTTCTGAAACATGTTATATATTCCTATTTTGTAAACTTCAGGGTTAATTGCATTCAGTCCTATAATGAACATGCTGTGTCCAAAAATTCATCAATAACTTCAGGGCCTGTTGAATAACAGATATTTGTTTGTATACCAGATACTCTCATGCTTTGTCATTTTGCCTTTTAAGGTCTGCTTCCTGAGTCTCCCGCCTTTCAAAATGAACTATCGGTTGATGTAAATGATACATGCTCATTGTGGAATATTTCACCTTTTCTCCGTGTAATTTGCTGTCTTCTATTCAGCACCCAAGGCCACAGGAGGAGTATTTCTTGAGGGAGAGTGCACAGGGCACGTGCAGGGATTGGTCTCCATCCCGAGGTTCCTCCCGCTCAAGCACCGGTGTTCTAGGGAGTTGAAACTGTTTAGTTTCAGGGAGTTTGACCCTCAGATGAGCGAGGTGTTCACTGGGCTAGTGAAAATAAAATACCTACTTAAAAGAGGCACAAATAATCTCTTAAAGAATGAATCCGTTTGAACTCCAGCATCATAAATTGGACTGCTACCAAGGAGACAATGAGCAGCAAGGTGACTCATTATCTTAGACAGTTCAAGAAAATTGGCCAGATGCAAATGCCACGCTCAGCGCTGCATACACTGTGCTCGTGCTCGTGATGGGGAGGCTTTCTTTAAGGTTTTACAATTTTCTTTTATTTTTAATAAAATTGCTGTTGTGTATACATTTTTCTTTCTCGATTGTTCGTACTTTGGACTCAAGCTTAACTGTGCTGTTCTTTTCTCATTTCAGTGCGAAAAAATCAGACAAGAACGAGATGAAGCGGTTAAAAAATTGGAGGAATTTCAGAAAAGTATGTAAACATTTCAGTGGAACCATTACAGCACACATCACGGTGGCTGGGGATTACTTGGGTCCATGTGTGTCCTCACAAGGCAGAAATTATCTTCCCATTTGTCTAAAAATGCCCCTGCATGACTGTGAATTTTAAAGAAATGGAATGAGCAGTGTTGTCTTATGAGTGTGTTATCATCAAAGCTGTATTTATAAACATTTCCATAGTTGAAAAGAACAAAAATTACCTGTTACCTTGACTTCTGAGAAAAGCCAGCATTAGAATCTTATATATTTTCTGGTTTTACTCATGTAATAAATGTATTGCAAAAAATTGTGGTCATGCTTTGCATTTAGTTTTACAGTTTGCTTTTTTACAGTAAACAGTGCATTTTGGCGACCTTTGCTTGTGATTAGAGATGTAAGTCAATTTGAACTGTTGTCCATAGTCCTCTGTTTATTGTACGGTCGCACCATGATTGATTTCAACTTCTCTGCGGTCATCGGTGGGTTGTCTGGTTTGCTGTCATTATAAATGATGCCATGGCAAGTATTCTTATACATCTTTATAGTCATCTGCTTAGTTCCTTAGGTTAACTCATAGAATAGGAGTGCCAGGTTTGTAGACCTTCACATTTCTAAGGGTTTGAAAGTTTGAAACTGCCTTCTCATCAGGAAAAGTTCTGTTCCTACAAAGTTGTGATAGTCTTCTAAATTTGGAATTAAAAAAATTTATTTATTTATGCATATAGAACTGGGGTATAGGCCAGAGGTGCAGGGGGTAAGAGCATTCACCAGAGCCAGAGTGGGGAGCAGAACAGGCAGATTGACGAAGTACACTGCTGAGGGGAGCAGCGGGCGAGACAGAGGTCTGCTGTGCCATCAGCTCCCTGACTGGGGATAGAACTTGTGTTGAAGAGCTGCTGCCAGCTTCACAGTGCTGCAGTTCAACTTGTGCTACCAGGAAGGGCCCACATTTGGATTTTTTTATGTGGCATACATCTGTTACCACGTAACCCTCTAAGTGAAAACATTTCTAATCATACCAAAGGATCAGTTGAGATATGTTTTGGAAGAAGGGCCTGATCTTCCCAGGGACGGTGAGCAGCAGTTTTCCACTGACCTGCCGATGCTGTTTCTTCCCCCCTCCCCCCCTTTTTTTTTTTTAAAAGGACAAGTTTATTAGGAAAAGGAGAATGAGAAACAGAGGCACCTGCATAGTTATAGCACTTCTGGAGAGCTGCCTGTCTGATTATGTCTGAAAATCTTGATTTGGTAACTTGTTTGATTTGTCTGAAAGTATTGATTTCGTACTACACACTCAAGCATTTTATTTTTGTTAAAGGTAAAACAGTCATAAAAATGCAGCATTGTAGTTCAGTTTCAATGGCCAGTTTATTTTCTGCATCTCTGTAACAAGGCCATCTAAGGTGAATATTGTTCTGTTACCTGTCTTTGAATACCACAGTGCTGTCGTAGAAATTCTGGGTCTTGTGAATGATTCAACTGCAAATACATAGGGCTTTTCCTTTCCCTAGTGCAGGCTTGATGAAAAGTTTTTACACTCCTGTTGGCCCTGAGTCACATCTGAGAGATTTATACCACTGACATTATTGCCAGTGATGTGCTTGAGTTAATTTTTGATAGTGAATTGGCATGCTGCATGCACTGTGCTGTGCAGAAATAATTCAGGTTCTTATGGGTGGATTTTTCTAAAATATTTTGGTTTTTATAGGTAGTAGAGATTTCTTTTGGCCACTTAAATCATGCACAAATGAAAGCAAGTTCCTCTAGAGTTACATGTGAACTCTTCTTTACTTTCAGCTACCATTTATCCTTATCCTTTCCCTTTCTTACTGTCTTCCTCTAAGAACCTTTGATTTTTTTTTATTACAAAAGTTTATTTTTACATCATTTTGTACATTTTTTTTCCATCGCAATTGTAATCCCTGCGGGTTTTCCACCACCAAGTCACCCGTGTGCCATCACCATAATCCCGTGCATTTCCCTCCCCTCCTCCCTGTTTTTGATCCCATTCCCCACTCCACCCCCACAAAATGTCTCTGGTATATGATTGTTCATTATTTTTGTTATTTTCTCGCCTGGTCCATTATACTCCTGCTATGAGTGAAACCATCCGGTAAATACCTTTGATTTTTAAAAATTTTTTTTATAAGCCTCAAAGAGTCAATCTTTGGATTCTTTACAAGAACCAATAATCTTTGATAGAAAGTCTGAGTTAGTCAAATATTCTAAGCTTTCACCTTTAGTAAGTTTTCTGCTTAATTTAAAGTTTGAGTGGCAGGAAAACAAAAGGCTCACTCAGTATCAAAAGAACAGAAAATGGGTAGTAAGGGAATTTTAAGTATTTGTTTTAAAGTTGCAACTGGAGGGAATGAGGCGGTGTGTTATCACTGTGGGAACTTCCATGGACTGTGAATTTGGGTGGCCCAGAGCAGTTTCTGCCTTAGTAAAATTGGGCTGTAACCTTACTTCATTGGCTCTTTGGAGATTAGATGCAATAGTCCAGGTACAAATTGCTGAGCACAGTGTCTGGCATGATACTCAGGGCTCAGTAAATGTTAGCTGCTGCCACCACCATCTATCTAGTTCACTACCACTGTGGCACTCAGCACCCTGCAGTACAAGGTGTTACTGGTCTCTACTTTTGCATAGCTCTGGGAGAAAGTTTCACTTGGTGCTCAGTTGAAACCCAGCTCCCACGAGGCCTGGTTAGTAAACATATAGGAAGCAACTTCCTAGGGCTCAAGAAAAGCTCTGTTAGTCCACGGCTCTATGCTCCGGGCTTGTCCTGTGTCTGGGACCTGAACTTGGCCACAGCTCCATGTGTTCTTGGCTCCCTGCCAGCTCTTCCTGACCCTTCCATTTAGTCTTTCTGCACAAATGACACCCCTACCTGGCACAACCGTGTTCCTTCCTGGGAAAGTGGAAGTAAACAAAGCCATCTTGCTCTTGTCCAGCCATAGCCTCCTCCTCTAGTTGAGATGTCCCACGTTGTGTGTGTATCTCCAGCTTTTATGACTGCATGACATTGCCATAGAAGTCATGGCATGTCTACCCTGGACACTTCAGGACCACCTGACACCTGGTGGTGCTGAGAGTCAGGTCAGTGGAGAGCTTTGCTCATGAGGCAGACTCATTGGTGGTGTGACCTTTAAGTATGACACATTGGCGAGGAGTATAGAAAGTCAGTACCACCTCGAAATCAGTTTGGTTGTACTTTACCAATCAGAACTCTGATTTGAAATCATTCACCTAACTTCTCTGGACCTCAGTAAATATAAAATTGCTGTGATAATACCTACCCCGTAGAACTGTGAGCATTCAGGAGAGAGCACACATAGGGTTTACCATCAAGCTGGCACAACTAGCGGTTGTTTCCTATGCAGTCCCATCCCACAGAGCACGTCCTTCTCAGAGGGCATTCACAGGGGCATGGTCTGTTTTTCTCATCATTCCGGTGAGCACAGACATGAGTACAGACAGCATTGTGCTAAGTGTAAGAGTCTCAGACATTATAGAGAAGTAAAATGTCTGCCCTAATTTTCACAGTTAGTTGAAGAAAAAAACAAAAAGTTTTAACAATCCTGTGCCCCTACAGCATGGTGGAGTCCATGATGGTAAATTTCTTTTGGGGTCATAGAAGAGGAGAGGCAAACATCGCTGTTTCAGCTGGACTGATAGAAGCAGCACCTGTTGTGCTTTAAGCTTCTCCTTACGAGTTCTCAGAGCCCTTTGGAGTCCATTCTCAGGGGAATGTCAAGCTGACACGCTAGTGAGAGGGCCGGGGAATGGAGCTCCTTCCTTGCTTGGAGTGCTTCCTGTCACCAGCTCAGGTGCAGGCTCCTCTCATCCGTGCCCCGTAGACACCCCCTGGCCCTCTGGCTTTGAAAACTCACTCCAGCCATGAAATCATCCTACTGTAATACTTCAGTAGATACTGGACATTCTAAAACTTGAGAATTCCCCCCCCCCAAAAAAAAACACAACTAAGGTAATAGGGCCCCTTTATTTCAAGCTCATCATTTTTTCTTAAGCTTTCATGTCATCCCAATTTTAGGGGTCTCAGGTCGTGGATTGTAAGGGGCAAGCCTGAAGTCAGTTTCACAAGGCACATCATTAAAAAACAAAGATTTGAAAACATTGGTCCTCTGAAAGGTGCAAATTTATATGTTGATCGTGGTTTTGCGTCATGTGACTTGACTTTTGGTTTGGGGGGGTGGGGTCATGCTTTTTAAAGACCTAGATGCTCTTTGAAACGTGGGGCCCTACTACCTCATCTTCCTTCTTGAATGTAGGAAGTTGACAGGTAGGTCTCTGTGCTACCAAGTTGGCACTGGGAAAAATTTTAAACTAAAAGCTAAAGCACAATTTAAAAATTCTACTGTTCTCTCTCAGAGGAAGATGAAAATGCGACTTGATCAAGTAGATCATATCATTAGGGAAAATGTGTACTAATGTTATCAAGCCAAGTTTGAGGGCAACTTTTGCTAGAATCTTAGAAAATGAGTGTTTCTTCTTTTTTTCCTCTTACTGTTAGCCCTAAACCTTATTAGTGTGGTCTGATTTTTCTTACTCTTCCATGAGCAAGAATGTTATTGAATAAAAAGTCAAATTCCTATGAAAAATGCAGAGTGTTTATGTTTTTGTTATGATAGTGGAAATACCAGATTGTGGCAGAAGATGTCAAGTAGTTAAGGCTAAAAATTCAAAGTAATATTTGATGTTGTAAAAATTGTATAGGTTTCTTTTCTCTTTCCTTCACATTTTCGAAGAACCTACCTTGTAAACATAGTGATAAAATGCCAGGAATATTAGGATTTTAAGGAAATAATAGAGCCTATTATTTAAACTACAATATAAAAGGCAATTATATTGATGAAGAGCTACATGGGCTTTGTGTATGTGAATAAACTTGGCCTGTGTTCAGCTTCTATTTGTTCTTCTGGCATAAACACATATTGTGTGTGATTCCAGTTTAATGGGGACCCGTTTGTATGCCAAGCAGCTGCATTTTAGGACCTATTGCGTGATTTCATAGCTCTCTGAAAATTGGTTCTATTCAGAACAAGAGATAGAAGAGGAGAAGGGGGTGGTGTGGGGGGTGGGGGAGAGCTCCGACACACAATCATTTCTTTTCAATTGGAGCCAGAAAGGTTGATGACAACATGACCATTGTGTTATAATGATAAGACCACTAAGGCATCTGTACCTCTCATCAAGGCTTTCACACAACAGCAGATACAATTTAATTCACTGCTCTGTCAGCAGTGCTGATACCATTATGCCGTCTGTCTCCACAGTTATAATCACTGTCCTCTGAGAAATGCAGTTGAAATGATCTTGAGCAGTCAAAGAAACTCTCAATTAAGGCTGCCACTTCCAATGTGTCAGATTGTGTCTTATGCACTTGGTACAATTTTCACTTCCAATCCTGTTTATTTACAATGTCTACCAGTAATTACGCTTAACGTGTCATTTAGTGAGGGGGGCCCTGCCAAGCCGATTGTTGGGTGCTGCTGTACCATTGAGTGGGAGTTTCTCGAAGTCAATGCCATCAGCAGCTTTTAGGCCCTGATGGGATGCAGTAGTAATGTTGATAATGCAAGGATCGTGCTCATCAAGTCATAATTAGATGCCACTCAAATGTGCCACTTGTAATAACAGTGTTGATTCATGTTTTTCTCGGTGACTGCAACTACTAATTAGTTAAGTGGTTTTTGGTTGGCCTGCATTTGCTGCGGATTATTATTACCCCTGAAAAAATGTCAAGGTTAGAGATGTTTCTGGCCATTTAGTGCTGCTTTATGAATTTGAATATTAACATAATAAGAACTTTGGACAGACTTAGGAAGTAATACATTTTTGTATTTAATTTGGAGAGAAATTTTTCCCCCTGAGTTTAATCATAATTGCAGGTTAATTAAGCTTAAATGAAGCAAAAGTAATCTCTCTTTGTGTTATGTGAGCCCAGTGCTTTTTTGCCTAACTTTGTTGGGTTTCACGTTTGCATGTCCCTTAATTTTTCTTTTTTAAGCCAAATAAATGTCCATAACTATACAGGTCTAGTTAAGTTGGAGATTCTGACTATTTTCTTTAACTAGGAATCTAGGTGGAAGGAATTGACATTTTACTTGATCTTCGAAGTATAATTTTAAGTATAATTCTTTGAAGTATAATTTAATCCTTTTTGCCTGTAAAGTTCGATTTCTATCAATCAGCTACCAAAATATCTGAAAATTACTATTTTTCAAGCACTGGTAAAATATCAAGCAAGAATTTTATTTTCTTCTTATTCATCTTTCTTACAGTCTGTGACACAGGAAGTAATTTGTTAGGGTTTACTTTCATCATGACATAATATGTAAATCTTGTTAAGATACTCTTTTGCCCCAGCGTTTATTAAATCAAAACTACCTTGTCACTAATAAAGACTACTTACTGTTGCAGTCCTTACCTCAGCTCGTTGTTATTACTGTGGTGGGATCAACTGAAGATTTGTGTTTGTAAAATTTCTCATTAGCTAGTTTTTCTTATTAGACCCCAGCCATATCCTGCTAAGAAAAGGAAGCCATGTTTGGCACTTTTTCATTACAAGAGGTTCTTTTGTTTAAATTGCCAGAGGAGTATGGTTATGTATACAGCTACACAGAAAATAGACACTTGAAATAAACCCCCAACTACTTTTCTTGAAACTTGTTTAATAACCATGAATGTTCTTTCTTGTGTAATTTTTTCTTTTTACATTCAGATATTAGCTGAGATTCAATGAGGGCATCATTTTAAACACTTTTTCCATGACAGCTAGAGGCCTGGCTAGCCAAAGAATGAAGTATTCTTTATCATGGGACAAGATGTGTGGGCTTCTGGAATAGCTGAGTAATCTTTGAATGCTGAGACTTTTTTTCCCCTCATTCCTAGTTTCTCACATGGTCATAGAGGAAGTTAATTTTATGCAGAACAATCTTGAAATAGAGAAGACGTGTCGAGAAAGTGCTGAAGCTCTGGCAACAAAGGTGAGACTATTCAGATAAAGGGCTTTTCCCTGAGCTTTTTAATTTCAACTTTCTTTTCCACACAGTGGCTTCTGACCTCTTTTTGCTTTTGTACATCTCTAATCAGTTGTCAGCTCTGAGATGAGGAAAGTGCTGTGTCGTCTCAGGAGCCTGAGATATGATTATGTAAATATGTCTTAAAGGTTATTATGGCTATTATGATTGTAAAAGGAGCATTTATGTGTCTGTATGTCAGCACTTGTGCTTTCTGCATGTGAAAAGTGGTCCCGAGTAATCTGTTGAACTGAACTTTCCAAATTTCTGTGTACTTGGTTAAAATACAAACCAAGTTAAAACTAGCTTGGTGTGACATAAAAGAACAATGAATGTTTCATGTTGGAATCAGATGAAAAAGTCAGTCTCAAACCTTACATTTCAGGTGATTATTTGTGAAAGCAAAGTGAGGGCATGCTAAAGGTGACCTCCAGTGTTCCACTGATTGCCTCTAGCTGATGAATTTACCAAGTGTGTAATTTTCTATGTTCTATCTCATCAGAAGTACATTATTATTAAAGAATGTTTTTATCTCTGTCTTATGTATTTTGGGTTGGATAAAATGCATCTGAACCACTTCATCAGAAAATGGATTACAGCAATTTTCAACCAAATTTCATTAGTAATGCTGGTTGGTTGTTTCCCCTCTTCCTCATCTCCTACCTCTAAAGTATTTCTTTGGATAGAACTGAAATTCTATCCAAATCTATCTGTTTGTCTGTCAGTCTATCTATCTATCTACCTGCCTACCTACCTACATATCACGTACCTACCTATTTTGTGTGCATTAGCAGAAAGCTTGCTAAAGGCACTTATTTGTTTGTATAATGACACTAGATTAGAGTTCATATGACTTAATCAGAGCCTAAGAATATAAATATGCAAAAGTGATTTTTCTTCTGTTATTTGAAGAATGCCTAGCAACATCGGCATTGCTGTAAAGGCAATCTATGATGACAAGGGTACTTGCACACTATCTAAGACTGGTAGAATTTTGGGAAAGCAACTGTTTCAGAGACACGACACTATACAGGTTACTGAATGGTCTAGAGTTAGGAGTGAGAAGGGGACAGACTTCTTTTTTGTTACTCATTTTCATCATTGGTCCATATTCAGCCCCCCTTAAAAATTATTTAGCCCCTTCCATTCCCCACTTAAAAAAGTTTAACAGGTAACCTTGCACAAGAGTTCACTCCTGCAAGCTGTCACTAATGTCAGGGTGGAACAGGCCGCCTTCTTAAGGGTGCTCCAGAACCTTTGGCTCTAGAGTATGGCCAGGCCTGTGTGGAATGAAAGGCTTCCAGATGACTGATATATTTGCCTCTGGTGATGAGTCACTATGTTACCTAGTCTTCAAGATCGTTTTGACAACTTAATCTGGGCAATTCAGATCCTTGATTTGCACAGTTTGTTTCTATTTTAAGATGTCTTTTTGAAAATGGGCACTTGGTAGCTCATCCTGACGTAGGTGTCAGTTGTCGTTTTGAAAGTAGGCTCCATCTTCTTGGCAGCAGAAATCCTGTACATTATTTTTCCAAATGTTGGCCCTCAAATTAATGACAAATGGAATATTTAATTCTTTCTCTCTTTTTAAATAATATAATAGTTAATTTTTACAGGAACATTTAATTCTTAACATGCAACTTGACTGCAGTTTGCCTCGAATGCAAGTTTGGATACTTTGCTTTTTGAAATGTGTAGGTGAACCTGATTAATATAGACTAGTTATTTAAATCAGATGATCCAAAGCTGTTTAACCACCTTGCTTTGAATATTCATTAAACTTTGACCAATATAAAATTTTATTTGAATATAGTAGAAAATCCTATTACTGTAGGATTGTAAAATAGTTTTTTTGCTTTGTGACTTTGAAGGGTTTGAAAAAACAAGTGGCTTGCCACCCTTGTATGACTTAATGAATGACAACAGCAGTGAAGTGGCTTTGTTAAGATTTACGAATTCAGGGCTCTCAAGAATGTACAGTTAGTATGATTGTAAGATACCATATATAAATCTTACATTTCTTCTTTGAAAATGTGAAAAATGCTGTGCCAGAGAAAACTTTTGAAATTTTGTTTCAGGCTTTTTTTTTTTTTTTTTTTGAGTTATTAACTCTTAACTAGAGTAGTATTACAATCCCATAACAGCTTGTGGATTTTAGTGCCTGTTTTGACAGGTATTAGCTCTTTTGAGGGTAGAACTGTTAACTATCGAGTTATTAAGTATTACTGTGATGGTTCCTGGGAAATAACATATTATGCTCTGGATAGCAGAAATTATTATTTTTATTTTTCATGAGTAGTGTGGAGGGAGGAAAAAATGCCTAGATGGATACCCAGGTCAAGGAAAAGTAGCTGATTTAAGTGAATGTCAAAGGAAGATTAAATACACAAACTAAATCTCTTGTTACTAATAGTAGCTAAGTCTAACGGTTGTTTTTACTATATGTCACTCACTATATTAACTACTTTATGTGTAATATCTCATTTCATATTATAGAGACTATTTTTATCCTTAGTTTGCCAATAGTAAGAAAACTATGACACTGAAAGATTAAGTTATCTCTAGAAAGAACAAAAGAATTTGACTACAGAGCTGGCTTTTTAACTTTGGTTTACTGCTTTTCTGGAAATGTGTGTTAGGTGGCTTTTAGTATCTCTGTGCATTAGAATCACCAGCGGGTTTTGCAGACGAGCAATGCTGGGCCTCACCATTAGACATTTTGGTCTGGGATTGAGCGTTGGATTTTTTAAAGTTCTCTAGATAGGTATCAGTTTAAATATTAGGAGAGAAATTTACAGATTAGGTCTTGAGTTTTTTCTTAAATTGTTACTTTTCTTCTAACATTCAAAACACAGTTTTGAGTGTGGGAGACCATGCTACTTGGGCTGTGAATATCACTGGGGTGAGAATCAGATCTCCTAGTTTAAATGTGCTGGGCTTTCCCTCACAGGAACTATAGAGTTTGTAATTATGATCACAAATGAAGAACCAGAGCCAGACAAGTATCATTCTAAAGACTACTCTGGTGTAGGGCTTACAATAGGGAAGGTTAGTTACTGTGCCAATGATTTTTTTTCTGTTTTTTGCATATTTTCAATATTAATTATTAAGTTTGGTATTTGTCTTGATGGCCGATACCCTAGGTCAAAGAAATGTGTTTGTTTTTCTTTATCTTATATTTTATGCTAGAGAAATCAACCTACTGTATATGTTCATGTATTCAAATAAGGGAAGAACCTTTAATTTTTTTTAGTCTTGAGAGAGAACCCACAAGCAAGCACATTTTTCTCCTGGGATCTTGGACCAAGTCTTTATGTGTGCTTTGTTATTAACATTTATATGCACATAAATCTATAAACTTCAGAAGATAATGACAGTTGAATTAGACCTAAACCAGCTCATTTCTATATCAGGGAAAACAAATACATTAGTGAATTAAGATTGTTTTCTCTGCTACAAATTAAATCTCCTTTTGTAGAGATAGTAGAAACTTTTTTCCTGTTTTCTGTTATTAGAATTTATGGACAGATAATAGAAGTTAACTTAACCACTAACTTAAGTAGGCACAGGGAAAAGAAAATAGGAATTTGCTATAGAGGGATGTTGGAGAGCCCCACAGAATTTATAAGCTAGGTGTGTTTCAGGAATGGACTGGTTGACTCTGGGAAAAGACTATATTCACATTTCGTTTTGCTGACTCACTCTGTACGTCACCTCCATCTTGACTTTGTCATATACCACTGCCCTCCACTCCCGAGTTCAGTAGTAGAATGTGGTTGCCAATAGCATCTGTGCAACGCACGAACAAAAGCCATCTCTCTGTCCAATCTCCAGATTTCTAGAAAGGGACTAGTTGGCCAAGCTTAGGTCACATCCCTAATTTCTGTGGCCAAAAGGATCGGATCTGTGCTGGTCGGCTGTTCTTGCAGAAACCGTGCACCCGGCAAGTGTCTAGAGGAGGAAGGGTTCTAGGCAAACAAACATTTCAAGGGTGTCCCCAGCACAGCATCAAGTAGAACATTCACTGGGAATTAAGTGCCTTAATTCACACTATTAATGACTATACATAAATTGAAATTGCATCTAATATCTGATACTTTATCTTGACTCTTATATTCCTTATCAATTCCAAGTAGCATTTTCCATAAGCCTCTGACTGTCATCCAGGCGTCAGGTCTTACTTAGAGTTTATCGTTTCAGTATTAAAAAGTGTAAATAAAACCTTATTTAATGATTCTTCTCATTGTTATTTCATGCTGTGAATGTTGATGAAGATGTGAGACAAAAACACTTAATTTGTCTATTGTTTAAAAATCTAATAAGACCCTCACTTGACTGCTGTTAAAATAACTGTTTTTATATTTTGCCTTAGTTAAATAAAGAAAATAAAACACTGAAAAGAATCAGCATGTTATACATGGCCAAGCTGGGACCAGATGTGATAACGGAAGAAATAAATATCGACGAGGAAGACTCCGGGGTGGACCCAGAGGGCGCGGCGGAGACCTGTATCTCAGTGCATTGTCAGAAGCAAATCAAAGGTGGGTGTCTTCGCCTCACCATACCCGTTGGGGCATTGCTCAGTGCTGGTTCCACATTGGAAGTTTTTTGTTTGCTTGTTTTTAAGATTTATTCATATAGAACTGGGGTACAGGCCAGAGGTGCGGGGGCAGTGAGAGGCTTCACCAGAGACAGAGTGGACAGCAGAGCAGGCAGATCATCGAGTACACTGCTGAGGGGAGCAGCGGGCGGGTCAGGAGAGGTCTGTCATGCCAGGTGTATCACCTCCGGGGCAGGTGGGGATCGAACTCATGCTGAAGTGGCTTTAGCTTCTTAGTGCTGTGCTTTAACCCAACGTGGAGGGCCCCCACGTTGGAAGTTTTTAAAACTTGCATGAGAAGTTTTTAAAATACCGATGCCTGGGTGCTGCCTTGAGAAAATTCTGATCCTGTTATCCCAGGGATTTGCCTGACTTAGAGTCATGGGACCCTGTAGCGTTTGTGTTTCATGCACTACTTTCCTGCTTGGAGTAAGACATCTTGGAGACAGATAGCCAGCTGGCTTATCAGCTTTTTAAAGAGTCTGGGCTGTGTTAATATATTTCTGTTAAATGCAAGGGGGAAAGTGAATATAAGTGTGTTCTGTCAACATCTCCTTTTGGTTTTCTATGGAATTTCTGGGGAAGATACCTTCCAAATGGCCGAGTCTCTGCCCACAAGAACTTCGCGCCTACGTCGGGCAGCAAGCTCGAAGGAGTAGGCCTCATTCAACAGCTGTGCTGGTCAGCGAGTGATCAGCCAAGTGACATAACACATGTTTCACCTACACATCGATTTCATTCATTCATAAGTGCGTATACACATGGTCCGTGCCAAGGGTACAGGAAAGCAGCTTTTGCCACAGTAACTTTTGGAGCATTTGAGCTTAGTGCTCACTTCAGAAGCAGTCTCAGTGAGTTTCGTTGGTAAACAGAACCTCAGGGGAAGCACAAGAAGACAGGGTGTTGCAGTCCTCGTCTTTACCTCATCTTCCACCCTATCACTGAAGACAAAAAATGTTCTCACCTTGGTTGGGAGGGAAAGGAAGCTTAGAAGACTTCCTTTGTGCATTATTCTCCCTTCTGTGAGGTCATTATGGTCTCTTGTTCTTCCTTCAGGATTAGCCAGCCAGTGAAGGAAGTGATTTTAAAACGAGTCTGAGAGCTTCTTCAAGCTGAGTTCCTGTAAAAAGTTGATTTAATTTATATATAACCACATAGCAGGTTTCTTATTGTCCTTGGAGGAGGATAAGAAATCAAAAGCAGTTAAGGACCAGTGGTTAAGCCAGAGGCCTGGGTGTAAATTTAAGTACCCTGAGCTAATCCATGTCTTTTTTTTTTTTTTAAACATTCAAGTAGTAGAAGTAACTTTAATCAAACACCAGAAGATTTTGCACTTTCAGTGGCTCATATTTTCATTTTAGTAAAACAATTTTCATTAAATTCCAGTAATAAGAAATATGAAAATAAATTAAGTAATAAGAAATATGAAAATAAATTAAGAAACAAAACACCCACAATTCTGGAGAGAAAATTACTAGAATTGACCCTTTTCAAATAGGTTTTATTTTGAGCCAATCCAAACCATTTTTAAGGGCTATAAATTGGCAGCAAATCAGGATTTTTTTTCTCCAAATCAAAATCTCCAAGTTATTAACTGCTCCATTGTTTATTTACGCTGTATTGTGACAAGAGCCTGTGGCCATTGTACGATAAAACAGAAATTAGTACCGTGCCTTCATTTGTCTTCCTGGTAGCTTAGGGATTTTACTTCCAAAATGACAGGTCATTTTGTAGAATATAGGTTTGATTGAGTGCAAAGAAAACATCATCTTGTACATTTAATGTAGTGAAATTGTGTGATATAAAGTCGTTAATAACCACGTATATTAAAAGGCAGCCCAACAAGCCCAAAAGGAAATTTCCTTCCCATTTACTTCTTCACCTTCTTCTAATTGTCAAGCAGCCTTGGCTGTAAGATGTACATAGACCAGCATTTCATTTCTTTTGGCAAGATTTGATTTTTCTTTTAAAAATAATTTTATTTATATTGCCCCTCCTCCATTTTCTTTAAAAATTTAGAACTTCGAGATCAAATCATATCTACTCAAGAAGAAAAGAAAATATTGTCCATTGAACTGGAAAATGTCAAGAGTAAACTGGTAGAAGTAACTGAAGAGGTATGTGTCTCAGGCTTGAAAGGCAAGACCTTTGTGTTTTCAAGGTGTTTGGGAGCTAAATTTAAAATTTGCTGTTGAGTACTAATTTCAGAGATGACAACCATATACCAATTTTGAGATCATAGACATTCGTATATCCCTCATGCTCAATAAATAAAATACTACGATAGTTTTGAAGTGTCTCTAGTTGGCCCCTGTATTTACTACATGAGGCACATTTTTTAAGGACAATACCTGCCACTTTGTGGCTGCTGGTTCGAGAGTCTCGCATCTCCAGGGAGTGGATGGAAAGTCTCACCCCCACACACCTCTGACACAGGCCTGTGTGTTAGAGGGTAGAATCAGTTCACATGGGTATTTGGAGAATTTTCTGCTTTTTCCTTTGAATTGTCTTGACAAACACCAGCACTTAATTGCCTTTCTTTTCTGGAGGCTTCAGTGATCCGCCTTTGCCATATAGATTTAACCTGTGTCAGTGGTTCTCAGATTCTGTGGTTGAAAGAGCTTCCCTACCTGGGCGCTGTGGCACCTGTCTCTCCCTCCAGAGGCCTGCCAGCCTGCCAGCACATTGATCTCTTCGGCGAGCAGCCCCACCCAGTTGCCCCGGTTCTCATACACGAGATCACCATCTTCTAGGGGCATCTGTGAGAAAGGCTGGGAAATGCACCTGCAGCCTCCCAACCTCTGTTGCTTTTACATGGTGTGGCCAAACATCACAGTGAATGGGAAGAAGGATGATATTTTGGAAGTGACATTTGCATAGTGTTCACCACTTCTCAGCAAACCCAACAAAGCAGAATAGAGCTTCTACTGAAATGAGTTTGCAGTCTGTTCTGCAAGTGCTGATGGACATGGATTTCCTTTCAGGACTCTGGTTTTAGTCTGTTTCTTAAGTGAAATCACAAAAAGCGTCAAGAAGCCCACTTTGATGAATTACATTCCTTCATTATGATTGTTAATGATGATTTGTCCCTTCCCACTCAGAGGTGTTACTGGATGCTCTTTCAGAAGTTATTTTTATGATGACTATTTCAAGTTTCTGAAAAATATAGCCAAAGTAATGAAGTACTACCTAGATTACTAGATGAAATATTAACATGGAGTTGGATACTCTGGTGTGTCTCTAATTATTTTCTCCCCACACCTGTCTCTGTTTCCCTAAACAGCCTTTACTCCCAGCTTGGTTTTCATCATTCCAGTGTATTTTTACTTTGACTACAGTGTACAGCATTTTGAGCTTTTAAAATTACGTAGATGTCCTACTTTTTAAATTCACTGTAGTGTTTGAGAGTTAACTGCCTTGACGTTAACTGTCCTGTGATATACTCATCTCTTATTGATAACTTCACACCAGAAGTATTTCAGCAATTTAAATTTTGGAGGAAGATTTTCATATGCATTTTTATTTAAGTCGAAAGTCATCAAAGGTCAAAGATTTTTTAGGTAAAAAATTTATGGATGCTTAAGCCAAATTCACCACTTTACAATGGTTATCGAAATTGAGTAGTGTACTTTGCTTAATAATTCATAGGTAGGGTGCTTTATCACTGGATTTTTTGCCTAGTAATACCAGACACTTGCTCTGGGTGATTACAATAGAGCCGTGATTAAGGACAGTGCCTGTGCCAGTTGGAATATGAAGGTGTACCAGATGTCCATCTGAAGTTAACGTTGCCTGTGAAGGCATTAAGGAGAACTTTGATAAGACCTAACAGTGATGCCAATTACTGCTTTAAATTATAGCTTCCTGTTGAAAGCTGAATAATACTTTGACTATCACACATAACCATGTGTCGTCTTTATAACTTGGGGTATGTTCTTCCCCCAATCTCACTTTTTTAGGTAAATAAAGTTAAACAAGAAAAAGCTGCTTTAAATTCAGAAGTTCTTGAACAGAGAAAAGTCTTAGAAAAATGCAATAGAGGTATGTGTTTCTAGTCTTTTTCTCAGATACATGCATAATTTATTGTGTTGGCAATATTTCGTATTGATCTATGCCTTCCCCCAGAGATTCCTGTAACAAGTCTCCTCTACCTTGTGTTTTCCTAACTTCTAGCCATGTATCTTTCTCATCCCTATTGCTTTATCATCCATCTTAGAGTCTGGGAAAAGTTGAATGTGAAAGTTATTTTCACTTGTGAACTCGTGACCACTTACTTTGGGACTTCACACCTCAATGCGAATCCGTCCTCCCTTCATGCCAGGACCACGGCCATATTGGCCGTCCTCTCAATGCTTGACTGTTCAGCAGCTGACTCAGTAAACCACACTTCTATGCAGAAGAGGTTAGCGTTTCTACATAAATACACAAAGTTAGACGATGGAATTTTTAAAGAGGAGCAACAGAAATTGAGTGTAGATTGATAGACCAAGTGCAAGCTCGCCCTGCAGCCTTGAACGTACTTTGTTCTTTGTCCAAAATCTGGTGTTGACCTATCCTGGACCCACTGCCATGAGCATTTCCTCACCCTGTCTGTGAATCATGTAAGAACAAATGTATTCAGCAGGAGCAGCATTTTGGGTCTTGTGGTGAAAAGGAAATTTCTCCAGTGGCTAAGTTTAGAGAAAACTCTGTCATTTGACCTTGTCCCTGTGGTAGAGCATAACATCAGCCCTCACACGTGGGGTTATGTCCCCCCACTTAGGACAAGGCAGGGATGCTGACGTGCGGCGCGCTTCTAAGGAGGGGCTGTACTGTGGTGTTAATTTTTCCTGTTTTCCCTTCCTCCCTTTGCAGTTCTGGAACGTAGAGCAGGCGAAGGGCATCTTTTGGACCAAGGGTCTTCCCTTCTGCCATGGGTGTGGCTCTCTGTCTTCCTTATCTGTAAATTGAGGGTTTTTTTTTTTTTTTTAAATAAAGGATGTTCTAGTTAAGTGTGGGAGATGCCCCCAATCAGGACATTCCTTCATTTAATATGATAGAAACGATGCAGCAGAATCTTCAGTCTTGATGTCCTGTGCTAGAGACAGGGGTTCTGCAAAGTTAGTCTGGTGGCCTTGCCTTCAGAGAGCCCCCTGTCTAGGAAGAGAGAGATTATACAAATGCATGCGGTACTAGACCAACCTGTTTCTTGCAGAATCCAGGTGAAAAGGCCAGGACGTGTGAAAATTCACGTTTGATTATAGTGTTCTGGACATAGAAAAGAGAGTCACTTATCCTGCCCAGGGCTTTAGATAGTCATAGTTGTCTTTGTTTTCTTCATAAAATTTCATTTTAAATAGGTTTGAAAATCATTTAGCACTCAGGGACCTATAATTCACACCCCAAACTGCCACTTACATTGCTTTACTTGAGTAAGACTATTAATGTTTCCTCAGAGGAGGCAGTAGGTTTACAGAGTACAGAGTTTGAAATTCTATGTCATTACACAGCAAACCAGTCCTTAGTCAGTTAGGACTGAAGTGCCCTGGTGGAACATTGTGTGAAAGCAGCCATTAAGAGGGCCTTTTTAAAGATTTTATTGATATGACTAAGCTGAGGTTTGAAAGTGCTTCCTCCCAAGCCGGTGGAGAAACCGGTGTGACATTGCTCCGTCTGTGCTCTTTCTCGTCCATAACAGCCTCATCTCTCCTCTGTCCTTTCGGTACCATTATGAGCAAAATAGGCCAGAAAACATCAAAAAGTCATAAATAATTGTGTTGCTCTTATTTGACAAGGACCTTCCATTTGAAGATTTCTGTCCCAGAAATCTTTATACACAGCTCTGACTCTGGGCCAGAACAGACCTAAGGCTGTTTTTTTTCTTTCTAACCATGGACAACATTAGGATATACTGTCTCTGTCTCTGTCGCTACTATATAGGTATTTATTTGTTTGGGTAACATGCCATTTTTGGCAGAACGTTGAGCTCATATAGAAAAAGAACGGAAAATCTCAAACTTCTTAATTGAGAGATAAGCACTATTAACATGTTAGTGTATTTTTTAGTCTTAAAAATAACCCTATATTTAATATTGACCTATTAAATTAGGTCAGATATGTTTATAATATATATGGAAGACACGCCAACAAAAGAAATATCTCTTTACCCACTGGTATTTTATAAGCCACTGAACATTCCTCTCTGCATCTCTCTCTCTCTCAGATTTTTATCATTCCTTTTATTTAGTTTTGCCAAGTACATATGTATCCTTAACCAGACTATTGTTTAACATAGAGCATATTTTTACACTTCTATAAATGGTGTCATTTTGAATATGTTCTGCTAGTCTTTGTGTTTGGTGAGGCCTTCCCTGTTGGAGAGCATAGCTTCTTTTTCACTGCTGCAGCATATTGCATTATATAAAATTCACTCACCCCGGATCCTGCTGGTGGACTTTGATATTTTTTCCAATTTTTTGTTATTCCAAGTCATGCAGTTATGAAAATTCTTATACTTGTCTCCTGGTACAAATGTCTAAGATTTTCACTAAGATATGACCAATATAAAATTTTGTATTCAGTTTCACTACAAAATGCTGACTTAATTTTTCAAGTAGATCTGTAAGTTTTATACTCCTGTTAGCCTTTGTTCACATTGTACTGTGTTCGCTCCAAACTTGATGGAGCCATACTCTTTCATTTGCCAGCTACCTCTTTGGGAGTAGGCATGTATGTTTTTACCTTCCATTTCCCTGCTAATTAATGAAGATGGACACTTTCCCTCTGTTTACTTGTCTTTCACCTGTTTCCTCTCCTGTGAGAGCCTTATTGATATGCTTTATACACAACTTTAAAAATCAAGAATGAGTTAGTTGTTAAAAAATACATCATGTCTACTTTTCGCTCAGTGGATAGGCTTCCACAGTATAATACTTTACTGGCCCTTCGGTCTTAAAACAACCACCTAGGTTGTTTTATTGTCTCAGCAGTGATGCAGGGAGCACTCTTGCAACCAGATCTGAGTATGCACCTAGTTTACTCTCTAGGGACACACATTCCTATGAGTTGAATTGCTTAGTCAGCGGGCATCAGTAGTTTTAGATTTTTGATGCGTATTGCCAAGTTGCCTTTAAAGAAGGTTTTGAGCAATTTACAATATTTCAGCAATAGATAAGGTTGCTTGTATGTAATCTTTTCAACACTGTTTCTCATCCATAGTCATGATAGTCTGTATGGCATATTGTCAATTTTCCTCTCCTTGTCTCCTTAAGTGTCCATGTTAGCAGTAGAAGAATACGAGGATATGCAAATAAACTTGGAACTAGAGAAGGACCTTCGAAAGAAGGCAGAGTCATTTGCACAAGAGGTGAGTATTTGGCAAAGACCTCGTTATTTTTACTTTATGGAGAACTTTGCAATTGACATATCAAAATATATTTTGAAGTTGAGCAAGAACCCAGCTCTTTGAATTGAGGATCGGCTACTTTAAGCAGGTAGCTCTCAGATCACACCAAGCTCACTCCACTTGGCGTCAAAAGATCTGGGTTCAGATTTTTGCCCCGGCAAGCAGTTGCTAGTTGTGTAACCTTAGAGCAAATCCCGTAACCTCTTAGGGCTTCACTTTTACCAGCTGTAAAATGAGTAAGGAGCTCAACCTAACTAAATGGATTTTAAAATCAAATGCCACAAGTATTTAAAAGCATTTTGTAAACATGATGCCATCCGGGAGAAGGAGCTACCTTTAGGGATACCCATACTGTGTCATGGAAACTCCAGCTTGAGTCCAGGCTGTCTGTCTGTTTCAGACAGCCTGAAGAGCCGGGTTCCATCCCCACATGCCATCTCAAGTAGCATCTGGTGTCTGTGCTTCTCTTCAGCTACAATACAGTGTCCCCCATGGTGTGGGCTGGTGTCCCTGGACACTGCACCCCCATTGTCTCAGTCTGTTACCTCAGTAAAAATGTCCCTCTTGTGTGAGAGGATAAACTTTGAGTCTCTCATGTTCCCTCCTGCCTGTGTTGACCCATAGTCCTTGTGTATTTCATGGCTTTGGGATTGGGTTCTAGAGAAACGGTGGGAGTCAGTTGGCTGAACCAACTGACCACCATAGCTCAGGATATGGTGTTGTTTTGCGTGAGATTTCCATCTCGTATAAATGTTCTGAGTCTGTGCGCACTGTAGGTTAAAGAAAAGGAGCAGAGGAAATGCAAAATAGTGCTAGGTCGAGGTATTTAAGACACAGGCACCAAGTGGTGGGTTATGGAAATGACATTTGGAAATCAGATTATGGTTTTGTGCAGTTTTTCTGTATTGAATGTAGCTAAGCTAGGAATGAACTCTCTAAAAGGTTTAGTCCAAGAAGATATGATTTGAAATATTATGATTCATTTTTTCCCCCAGGGGTTTAATGAAAGGTGAGTAAATATTGTTCTCTTATACTTGGAAGAAAGTAAAACGAATCAAAGTGTGTCAGAGGTCTTTGGAAAAAGCTGCTGCAATATAAATAATGGAACTAAGTAAACAGTTGAGGGAAAGTGAAGGTGGAGAGAATGTGATGACGCTTCCACTGCAGAATGAAAAGGTTTGCTGATTTTGACCACAATATCAGGATCTTATTTTGAGATACATTTTCAATTTTCCATTTGTTTGTACAATGATGTCAGAATACAGAGTTGCTCAGAATAAAACTTGAAGGTCATGTATTAGCAGACAAGATAGATGCTAAAGAAGTTAGATTTCACTAAGAATATGGAAATGAATGACTCCCTCTGCCACTGGCCTGAACTGATTGTGGAGACAGTGGTGCTGAATTTCACCCAGAATGAAGCGACGGGATTCTGAGGCGTCTGAGCAGGAGCAGCGGCACTTGTGTTCAGATAGCATAAAATTACAGTGTGTTCTTTTTACGTTACCCAGATTCTAGCTCACCAATGTGAGAAGGAAACTAATTATTTATTTATTTATTTTTAAGTAAAGTTAGATAGGAATCAGAATATCTTCCCTCTGGCATAGCTTACAACTTGCTAGGTTTCAACAGCTAATAACTATTACTAAAGGCACTTTGTCCCATAGATCCCTGAATTTTGTTTCTTAGTGCATTAAACAAACATGAAAGCAGACATGGCTGATATTGGAACTATAGAAACGTTTTTTTTATATTGGGTAGATGATATATGTGTATATCATTAATATTGAATATATGCAGAGTCAGTATATAACTAGGCTATATTTATATTTTGAAAGGTTGATAGAAACTAGCCCTTAAAGTTATTTTTCTTTATATTACATATAAATATGCAGAAAAGTTATATATATATTTATATATAATACAATATATCAATATGCTTTATATGATATAACATAAGAAATAATGCATTTCCATATATTAATCATAAAAGGAATCTATGTAGCTTGTAAAAATAACAAACAGTTCTTTAGTGGAAAGTAAAATTTGAAAGTAGAACCCCCTCATCAAGGAGGAGTCAGCTGTCTTCATTACACTGTTACATTTTTCTATGTCTTTGACATGATTTCAATCTTTGAAGACTTTCCTGGACTTTCTCTTGCTAGACAGTAGCTTTTCTTTTCATTTTTTCTTAAGATGTGGCAACTTTGTTCAACAGGTAGTCCAATCTGCTGTGAGGCTATGAAGCAACCATTATTCTTTCTTTCAGTAACTCAGAGGAAATATTAATGTTAGTTTGAGTAGTAAAGAAAAGGTTTGAAATTATAGACTAATAGCATCTATTAAAAACTTACAAATTTATTTTTAAAATTATACAAACTATAATTCATATATGTTAATTATGTACCATGTATATTGTATTGTAATGACAAAATATGTATTAAGTTATATATTAATTAAATTAAAAAATTATATATTAATGTCATAGGATGCATTATTCTTGTTCTTCAAACAGACTCATGAGATCACCCTGAAATTCTGATACTGAGGATATTATTTTTCTGATGAGACCCACATCATAACTCAGTGGACTTTTCACATTAGACAAAACCAGATTCGCTAGGGCAGGGCCAGAGACTTTTTTGGAAACATATTGTTAGCAAAGGAATTATGTGGGCTATTTTATTTTGGAATCTGAAAGTTTAGAAAATTTTTTCTGAGTTACCATTGTTATTGAAAGGGAATCCTTTTCTCTTTCTTTCTTCAAGAAATCCACTTAACTGAGGTTCTACATCAGTCTTTACTCCTTTCTCTCTAGAATAACCAAGTTGAGATAATTTATCATGTAAATCAAGCCAGTTTTTACACGCGCACACACACACCTCTATGCCTCTCTTCCTCACACTGGAGTGAAGAAGCAGAGCGGGGAGACTGTAATTCCACTTTTAAATGCCTGAAAACATGGAGCTCTACTATACTGACCTGTTTCAGAGGCTTCACAAACATTTCATGCTTGGAATCAGCCCTTGGCTAACTTGTGCAGGCTGTTAAGGGAAGGAAATAATCAGTGAATCGAAAATGTTCTCAGTCGTATAAGGCTATGAAGATGAAAGAAACAACTATGTAAATTTCTTAATAAAGTACCCAATACATTTTGTCTATCTTTTCCCTTTTTCTCTTTACCCTCTTAATGTTAACTACTTTCATCAGTGGGAAGTAACTAATTGGTTTAAAACAAAGTACCTTGTTGAGTAAAAAGTAGAGATTAGCTAAATGGTTGAGAACTTGGGTTTATGTATTGGACAGGTCTAGGTTTCAATTCTGATTTGCTACTTACATGTGTCCTTGGGAACGTTGTCTGGGAACTCAGTCCTTGGGAAACTGACCTCAGTAACCTTATTACAAGAAAGAGATGATAGTATCTGTGTGATAGTGTTGTTCTAAAGTTTAGGTGATCAAATGTATGTGAAATGTTAACACCATACCCATTATACAGTTTTTAGTAATGTTCGCTAATGATCACAGATGCATTTAATTCACGGGATTGAAGTAAGCAAGAAAACAATGCATATAAAGAAAGTACTTAGTAGAATATCTGGCAACATAAGTTCCTGTTAATTATTAGCTACTACTATTAATAATACAATATATTTTAAAGCAAGAATAAAATAATAAAGATTGAGGCATAGGACTGAATTATTTATAAGATACATCTTGTTTTGCTACAAGGGTAAAAGTATTGAAGTTGCACAAAAGTTATGTATGAAACCGTGGCAACCCTCCCTCTAAAATTGTGATACAGCTCAAAAATTGATTTTAACTTTTTGATGAAAACGTCACTTCTTTTGCACAAGTGGCAGTTGAGGAGGGATGTAAGACTGAGGATGTATGTACGTCTTTGTGATTAACTTCTGCAGATGTTCATTGAACAAAACAAGCTAAAGAGACAAAGCCACCTTCTGCTACAGAGCTCTGCTCCTGACCAGCAGCTTTTGAAAGCTTTAAATGAAAATGCAAAACTCACCCAGCTCCTTGAAGAAGAGAGAATTCAGCATCAACAAAAGGTAACAGATTTTCTTCTGAAGTCTTAATACACACATACACCCACACGCGCACATGTACACTAAGAGGAATATGTCTACTCACAGTTCCATGTTTTGCCTTGTTAAGTTACTGAGTCCTTCCAGTCCCTTTTGTAAAAAAAAGCTCTCAGTTGATCTTAGTTTAAGACCCAGCTAAGATTCAGAGTGCCCTGTTGTAGACTTTACAATCTTTAAACTGCTCAAAGGGTCAGAAAGAGAAAAGGAAAGAAATACGAACTTGGATAATGCATCATCTGGAAATGAGTGAATTGTGTACTTTGGAGATTGCATGTGCCAGGAGAGGATGAGTCTCCAAAGAGCCCCTTGCAGGGCACAGGTTTTATTCAAGGGGGGCAAGGAAGGGGGGGGCGTCCATGCTAGTAGTAATTGTTTGCTTAGAGAAAATTTCTGATTTTGTAAACTTGCACAAATGTATATATTTAAAGTCGTCCTAAGTGGTTATTTTAGTTTGTTTGAGTGGCGCTATTCCAGCTGACAAAACCTACAGGCAGGATGGTCATAGTGGTAGGTGAGAAGGAGGAGGCGGGAGAGGAGGGGAAATGAAGAGGTGGAACAAAGACTTTCATATTCAAGAAACCACTTAAGAAAAATTGCATCAATATTTATACTACTTGGTGAAGGGAAGGCTGTTAGCTGCTATTTGTTATCACCTGTCAAAGTCTCTTTAGGAAACAATACTGACATTAAACTCTTGGAAGTTTCTGAACTTTTACAAAGTTCTATTATGAGGTAGACTTATTGTTTTTCCTCAGTAAGTGATGTTGGTGTATTGTGGTGTGTTCATTCAGTGGGTGATAACAGTGGATGCCCCTAGGTGAGCGGATGGGGATTTAGCAGGGGAAGAATTTCCTCTTCTTTGGTCTCCATATGCAAGAGAGAATGTGCACTGTTACTTTGCTAACAGTAGATTTTTTTTTTTTTAATTCTGAAAAGTTCTACTTGAGGTCAAGCCATTGAATAAATAATACATACCAAGAAACTATTAAACATAGGCATGGGACTAAATTGTTGTATGTATACTATGTTGGAGTAAGGGGAGAGAAACCGAAGATTTAAGTTATGAATGAAATCCTAGCTATCAGTACTTCTCCAACTGTCCTACAATAGTTATTCTGGATCATCTTTCATCGACACAGTTCCAACCCTCTTACTGTCTGTCAGTTTCTTTGCAGATTCAATAATCTTTACACACAACTATATTGCTTCTACAATTATAAAAATAATTCATTCCTTATCAAACAATATAAAATATTACAGAAGCATCAAGAAAAATAAGATTGTCCAAGAATACTTATTTTGGTGCCTATGCAAAGTTTATGTAGTATATAATTTTATGAATCTATTTGTTTAAATGGAATCGAATTATGCACTAGTGTTCTGCAACCTGTTTCTTCCTTTTGGGTTGGTCTCTGTCTTCCCATGTTAGTGTGTAGTGAGCTGTGTTATCTTAAATGGCTGCATAGGCTTTCATTTAGTGAAGTCACCATAGTTTATTAAATCAATTTTATTGATGGACACCTAGGTTATTTCCAATTTTTCAGTTACAAAGAATAACTTAGTGAAAATATCTTGACACTCATCTTACTAACTCTTCAAGACAAATTCTGAAAGCAGGACTATTGAATTAGAGTTTCTTTCCTCTTCTTTAATAATAATTTTTAAGGTTTTGATGCTTATTGTCAACATGTCCCCGAGGTCTTTTTAATGTGAGCTGAATTTTCCCCTTGAAAATGGGTACAAAAGAATTACTAGTGTTTCAAAAGAATTATTAAAGATTAAATTGTCAGCCCTCCCTGGTGGCACAGTGGGTTAAAGCACAGCACTGAGAATCTAAAGCCGCTTCTGCATGAGTTCGATTCCAGCCTGTCCCAGAGGTGACCACATGGTGTGGCAGACCTCTCCTGACCCGCCCGCTGCTCCCCTCAGCAGTGTACTTCGTCGATCTGCCTGTTCTGCTCCCCACTCTGTCTCTGGTGAAGCCTCTCACCACCCCCGAGCCTCTGGCCTGTACCCCAGTTCTGTATGCACAAATAAATAAATCTTAAAAAAGAAAATTAAATTGTCTGGACCATGAGTCTGCAGTACATTTACATTGAATCAAATAGCTGACAATGAGTTTAAGTATTGTCAATATCCTGAAAGGTAAGGAGTTGTTCAATTAATTAGAATCTCTTTGCTAGGAAACAGGAAGTAAAAAAGAAGTATTAATTTTTTCCCTCTGTTTTCTTGACAGAGGGAAAAAGTCTCTACCCCCACCCCCGTAAGCGTTTACTTATAATTTACAGGTCAAAGAATTAGAACGACAGCTAGAACATGAAACACTCAACAAAGAGATACACAACCTCAAACAGCAGCTGGAGCTTCTAGAAGAAGATAAAAAAGAACTGGAATTGAAGTATCAGAATGCTGAGGAGAAATCCAGAAACTTAAAGCACTCTGGTAAGGGCACTGCAGAGGCTGCTTTGTCTTACCCGGCGTCTGTCTGTGGCTCTCAGGCTCAACACAACCCCTGGGAGTCCCTGGCCCAGGGCGTGTCCTCAGTGTTGCAGGACAGCACCGAGCTTTGCTGTTCAGCTCCTCACTGGAGCATTGTTGGGATGACCTCTGTAACTGAACGAGTCACAGTACTTAGACTTCTCTTGTGGACTCAGATTCTTTGTGAGATCACTTTCAGCACTAAGAGAAAAAATACCGTTAGGATGGGTAGACCAAGGCTTGAGCATTTGTCAGCGCCTTGGAGATGAACGTCCAGTCAGCCCTTTCTTTGTTCATTTTAGGTTTTTAAAATGACTTAAACTTTCTGGGTTCCTATTGCCTTCATCTTTGGTACCTAATTATACCCATGAAATAATACTTCCAGTACTACACAATGAAATGGGCAACAATATATATATTAAATGGAAAAACTTTTAAAACACCAGGGAATGTTGGAATTTAAAGGATTTATTCATTCAGTTCTAGAAGGCGTGACAGGAGTGTCACGTTGCATGACTACACAGGGATAAGTAGTAAGTTTCTGCGGGAAGGTGGGTAATTTAAGGAGGCAGGTCATTTCCTTTATAACAGCTTCAGTATTCACTTCAGATATTTTTGGTTAATATTATACTAGAATTTTGAAATCCGCACGGAAAAACCAAGTAGGCTTTTTTCCCTTTGACAAAATATTCAATGCCTTCTAATCCATAATGAAAATGGATTACAATTTACTTTATAAAGATTGAGCAAAAATTAAGAAATATTCCATTCCTTTTAGTGAATTTCACCGCAGCCTGTAGCCAGAATGACTGCCACCACAAATAGAGGGCATACCCTGCAGATATCCAAGGGTCAGTGTTTTATTTGGTATCTGCTATGTGTGTCCGATCCTATCCTCAGGTACTATAGGAAATGCAAAAGAAAAGAAACCTACACCATTTGCCTTAGAGGAACTCAAACTCCCTTTGAAGAGACAGATAAGTGAATATGAACTAACTAGAGGGTTCTTGGTGATGGAAAGCATAACCCACACCATTTGTGGGGGGTTGAGAGCAGATATGAATGGAAAGATGGCAGGGGTCCAATCATCAGAAGTGGGAGCTGTTCTTGTCTAGAAGCAGCACTTGCCTGTGGGGCCCAGGCCTACGGCTTTCACACCTGTGACGTGTAGATGACTCCTTGAAGTCAGGGACTCTGTCTGGAGGGGCACCAAGCTGAGCCCCTTTCCCACTGTTGGTGCTTAATGATTGGTCAATAATGACAGGAATGAATGGAATGAGCAAATTATACTTCTAGAATGCTCTTCAGAAGAATAAAATGTTTCTGAGTTACAGACACTTGAGAGTGAGTCTGGTTAAATTCAAGAACTCCAGTATTTGTTGTTCTTGAAAGAAATTAAGTGGAGGAGGCAAGTATGCTATTAAAATTCTTTGCTAAATGTCATCTTTAAATTAATTCTTGGTCTATACATGTTCAAAGTCAAGTATTAACAATTTCTTAGTGTTTGAGTAGTATATTCTTTTGTTAACAAGCATTTCTTCAACCTACTCACATCCTTAAGCCCCCCCACCCATTCAGCCATTGTCTTGAGATTTTTCCCTCTTTTCTGTAGTTGTATATACAACAAAAAGATGCTAACATTTCTTGTAACATGCAAAAGGCCCTTTTACGCTAGTGATCATATTCTGAATGATCAAAAGTTAAAGAAGTTTTACAGTTTGGTATTGAATTTTTGTACTTTGTCTTAATAAAAATAATTTGATTTTGAGAGAGGTTGTTTCCTTCCTTTGCATGTGTAAATGGTGTTTAGTCACTTGTTTTAATTCTTTTCTAAATGCTTGTTCTCTGTGCAGTTGACGAACTCCAGAAACGGGTGAACCAGTCTGAGAATTCAGTGCCTCCACCACCCCCTCCTCCACCGCCACTCCCCCCTCCACCTCCCAACCCTATCAGGTAGGCACACCAGGACCGGACGTCAAACACGCCCCTTGTCGGACAGCCGGCCTTTCTTATCAGTGGTGTCTTCATTTTGTTTTTTAAGTTGGTTGACATTGCATCATCAGAGAGGAGGTAAAAAGTATGGAAGATATCAGCTAGTATTTTCTTAGTGAGTTTTCTAAAGACCAGTGTTTTATTGCCTTTTCTTTGTAAAATAGATAAAAAGAGGCCACAACAGCTGGCCAGGATGTGTTTGGGACCTGTGGTTTCTGTTGTAGGTGTTCAGCTCCTGGGCGATTGTGGTTTTTATTTGATAGAATGGCTTTAAATTTCAGTTCATAACATCAGTATTTCCTTTAACTAAGACTAAGGTGTTTTGAATTTGAAAAACTCTGTTTAGTTATTTTAAAAATAAAAGTACCAAACTAAAACTTAGCAGTACTAGTTGTTATAAACTGGTAATTGCAGAAAAAGTACTCATTTTTTATCCATTACCTCATTTTTAAACCTTCGATAACGCCAATAGTGGAACCTTTTCATCAGAATAGGAAGTTAGGTTTAACTTGCTACAGGAAATCATATATGCAGACACAGATTCACTGCTCTGGACACAAAGGACTTGACGGTTTTGAGTCTGGCACAGGGCTTCCCTCGATGCAGGGGCGTCAAGTTTGGCCTTTGTTTTTTATGATTTTTTTCAGTCCGCCCTTCAGAAATATGAGAGACAGCCTACCTGAAATGGTGACCACCAGCCTCCTCTCACGTTATGACTTTTGCTGTTTCATTGTCATTTATTCTTGAACAAATGGGATGTGAGAGTTTGCTAGATTTCTATTTTTCATTAGGTCATGTTAGTTGTTTAATCCTTTCACACAGATAAGTCATCATTCACACTTGACACCTTTGCTGTTCCATCCAAATAGGATGCCCACAGAATGCTGAAAATTGCACTTTGCCTTTTAAAAAGATTCTCATTAGCTTTCCTTACTGAACAGGGTAAGGAATAATCTACTTTAAGCCATTGAAGTAGTTAAGGCAAAATAATTTTACACGTGATCGATCTAAGAGTCAGTTGAAAGAATTTCAGGTATTTTAAATTCTTTCTCTCCTGGGTAGCTAAACCTGTAGGAGATATTCTGAATCTGACATTTAAAATAGGAAATTCATTACTTTGATCTTTGTCTAAAGTCTCGAATTTTGAGCTGATAGGAAAGGTCACTGCCATCTACAAGGAGGGAGAACTATTAGAGGCTGATTATGATCTTGCTGTTGTGAGAAATCTTGAGAGGTCCTGGTATTAAAAATAAAGTATAACCTAAATAGAATATTTTCCTAAAGAGCGCTTTACAGTTATATTGAGAATTCAGAGCAGGATTCAAACTATGTATGTCTAAAGCATGAACACTTTTATGAGTCTCTCCAAAGAAAATTTTCATCGAATAATAATGATTTTAACTTGAAGATGAATTTAGATAGCATGAGACATAATTTCTCATTTCTAAACTTTTATTGGTAACCACTTGTTAAAGAATTATATTTGAGTATGTGCTGAATCTCAGTGGATTTTGAATCCAACTAGTTAGCATTTTCCAACTTTGTTTTTAAGATACTTGTTTTTCCCTGATGTAGACCTAATGAATAGAAATAAAGCGGGAAACAGACCAGGGCCTGTGGCTTCTTTGAGTTGATTTTATTGTTTTTCCTCTCTCTCTGCTCATTTGACCTAGAGGACAGTTGAGAGAGAGGAAGGAAGAAGAAGGCATATCCGGGTTCCTTTGTACTAGTGGCATGAAAATAGTGCAGGTCCTGGACAGGTGTGTTCATAAAGAGAGAGAGGAGTATAGAGTTCTCTAGAGACTATGTTGTGTGTGTGTGTGTGTGTGTATGCATGGAGGCACACACACACATATGCCCATGTAAGTGTACCTTATGTACACATGAAAGTATGTGTATGATATGTATGTTTATTCTAAGGATTAGTCCATAAGATTATAGAGGCTGGCAAGTCGCAGGGTCTACAGGTCGATTGACAGCAAATCAGTCCAAGTTGAAGACTGTGATGCAGGTCTAGTCTGAAGGTTGCCAGGTTTGTGGCTCAGGAATAACAACTGTTTCAGTTCAGTCTGAAAATAGGGAAAAGCCACTTCCTAATTTCAGGGTAGTCAGATGGAAGGCTATTTATTACTTTGGGAGGGTCACCTTTTTATTCTACCCAAATCTTCAGAGCCATTGGATAAGATTCACATTAAGGAAGGCTGTTTAGACACTAACCTCATTCAAAAAAATCTCACAGAAACACTGAGCATAATGTTCGATCATGTGTCTGAGCATTTGTGACCCGTCCATATTAACATCAAATTAACCATCATAACAGGTATGGAGAACACCTCTTTTTGTAGAAATTCACGATGAATATTTCCATTGAGCTGTCCCATTGTGGGGGAAAACTTGACGCTTTTATCCGTTAAATTGACATTCTGTGAAAGGAGGCAATAAGCCAGAGGTTCGGCTTTTTGGTTCCAGATGTTTTGTCCTGGGAGACCCTTGCTACTGTGTCTACAGTCTAAGCCCCGTCTTGATATGTGTGTGTTTTTTAAATATTATACATGTGTTTCCTCTGGTCATCATGTCTGTGTTCATCAGTTGAGGTCGTTGAAGGCCAGCACTTTCTCTCCTCTGCTTAAGGTGGCTTACAGTGCTGAGCATGTATTCTTGCTTTACATGTTAAAGATGTACAGAATAACTTCCTGCTTCATGATCTTTGTGTACAAAAATTCACACTCAAAATTTGCTTTCAGAATCACAGGTGCCAAGGTAATACAGAGAGTAGTGCCAAGGTAAGGAGAGGCTCCCCACCCCCACCCCAGGAAGTGTTAAGGAGCAGAACGAATGCTCCTGCCTTCAGCTGACAACTGGAAAAAGTGAACAAATAAAGTTTCTCATTGTTTTGTAGAATTTCTTTCTATTCTTCATGGTATATTTTAATGCTTGGAAATATTTAAGTATTTAAAAATATAGGAAAATTTATCCAGATTTGGACTTTATATATAATTTGAAAACAAGGACAGATAAGCAGTGGCCTAACTCTAAGTTATCCCTTACGTGTCTGGACTGCATCATGCAATGAGATACTCTTAGCCTCTATTTCATGAGCAGGTATTTCCTGAGAACATCCCCTGATTCTTTCCTCCTCCTTTCTCCTGCAGATATATTAATAAATAGCTGTTTCTGAATTCTGGATATAGATGTTGAAGGTTCTTTTATCTTTTTTCTCTGCAAATGTCTGTGCACTGTATTGTTAACTGTAGCAGTCTTTCCTCTCAGTAGTTTGGTTTTACACAAAAAGGGATGAGAATGGAATCTTCCTCTCTTTCAAGTGATAATTTTATAATTTCTTAAAAGTGGAAAGTGGGCTACTGAAATTCTAGTTGCACTTCATGCATCTAGAGAAGAGTTGGATTTTTTATTGGATTACTACACTCTTGGATCATCGGCTCCCACTCACTCTCCTGTCCCTCTTCTTTCTCCCCAAGATCCCTCATGTCCATGATCCGGAAGCGGTCCCACCCCGGCGGCAGTGGTGCTAAGAAGGAAAAGGCAGCTCAGCCAGAAGCAAGTAAGTCTTATCCCCGCTGGTTTACTTCAGTGGTTCTTGGTGTGTAATATTCCAGCTACCCACCTCGTTGTGGAGTGCTTTGATTATGAGCAGATTCTCATGGGAGAAATGTGAAAACCTGAGAAAGCTGTTGCTTTCCTGTCACTTACTGCCTAGAGGAGAAACACGTGCATTGCTGTTGGGTGAAGTATCGGGGTGATGTGCTCTCATGAAGGGGTAAGGTGTTTGCGATGTAAAGAGAAGGAGCCAGTCCAAGTGTGAAATTTGGAGAAAGGCTTTTTATTGTTGATAAACGTACACCAAGACTTTGTCAAGCATCTACTGCTGACTGCTGCTGTGTGCTGGAGATAGGTTTGAATGGGGGAGAAAGGAGGTTTACAAGTGACTATCCCATTAAATGTTAATCACGTAAATAGAACATTTCCACATCTGGTGGAGGTTGGTGTACTAGGTTCTAAGGGTTATGGTAATGGACTGGCCTCAGAACATGATGTTTCAGTAGTTGTGGACTTAGAAGTAGGGATGAGGGCATAGAGGATAAAATTCAGTGGGGGTGGCAGAAGAGCACACCCCCAAAGTTGAAAGTAGGAAAGGAGCTTTGTGTATTGAGAAACACAGAATTGATATTCCTAGAACACGAGGTGCAAGAAAGGAGCTCCAGAGGCAGTGTCAGGGGTTTGAAATTGACCTTTAAGACAGCAGAAATGTTAAGTAGGGTGCATGCAGTATGAGATTTGTTTTTTGTTTTAACCACATTGGCTGCAGTGAACAGACTGTGAAAGAATGAGAGCAGGCAAAAGAGTTGGAGAGGCTGATGCTGAGGACAACACACAGGGGAGTGGAGGGAGGAGGGCTTCGTACTGAACAGAGGTGCTTGCTGAACACGGGCTCAGGGGAAATTTTGTTTGTTTTCCATATTGCTTTGAGACAGTTGATACATCTTGAAGAGTCAAGAGGGCTGTCACAATACATCGGTTTTCCCTTCTAGATAAATTACACTCTCAGCTTGTTCACCTCCATAGGACCCTCAGATTGCAAAACTGTGAAAAAGTATTCTAGAGCTTACTAACCCTTAGTGTTGGAGACCACCCAGTTTTCCTTATGGCGGGGATGTTGTGCCTGTAGTCCAGATGTTCGCGCATTCTTAATTTTGAGAATCCAAGTGAAGTGACTGATGCAGAAGTGGCTGAAACACCTCCCAGCAAGAGTGATAATAAAATCCTGCTGCCTGATGTGATAGGTGGCAGACCAACCCAGGCAGAACAGCACCCTCTGTCTGCAGGGATGCTATTGACAGAGTTCCATCAATCATGCTCAAGAACAGTAGTTCTTGAATGAATCCATCAGTGGTGATCGAATGCATGATGGGTGAATGTGGAGCACCAAGCTTTGGGGTCATCGGGGCTCTTTGGAATGTGCGTTGATAACGTAGGGACCAGACCTGCTGCCAGTATTCTCTTCTGTTAGCATCTTCAGGTCACTTTTAACCTATAGTTGGTAGGCTTTGTAGAGCTCATGAATGGAGAAGCTTTTCATTGCTTACAAAACTTAATGAAGGGAATGTCTGTCTAATATTTTAGAAATAGTTTAGGAGCAATGATAGATGTGCATTTATTTATCAGGCAAGTTCTGAGAATTCAGAGCATGCTTGCTGTTTATCACATATGTAGGTTATTAATGTTATCCCAGTTTGCTGTAGAGTGGAGATAATAATTTTTATTTCACAGGGTTTGTAACAGTTAGTTCTCACAACTGTATGTAGAGCAGTACCTAGAAAGCACTCAAAATAGTACCTTAAAAAAACAAAAAGGGAACAGAACCAACCATGAGGAATCGTGATTCATCAGGTTCTTGTGATCATTGCAGTTAAGGAAATGTCCTTAACTTTATGTGTTGAGGTCTGAGTCATTCTTACTCACCCATAAATGTTCTTTAGAAATTTTGTACATCATGGTAACGGATTTTAAAAAACCTTTTCCATAATGTTAGTAAAAGAGAAAAGTAAATCCTGTGGAATTTAGAAATTCACTTTACCTTGTTCAAGGTAATAGCAAGAGGTTTTATTGAGCAGCAAGGTGATGGTTTGGCTTGGTCTGTGGGTATTTTGTTTTTTGTTTTTGAATAACTCACTTATTTTTCAAGTGGGTCTTAAAATTTAAGCCTCAATCAATCACATGTAGCTTTCTGATCCAGGGCTGACCTTAAAGCACCAGCTCAGAGAACATTTGATTTTATTTTCCTGTGGCAGCTCGATAACATTAGACTGGTTGTCTTCATTTGTCTCTTTTCTTTGATCGCCAGCATCCTGTATATTTCTGTGGCCCCCTGATTACATGCTTTTGTGAGACAATTGCCAGCTGTGTGGTTGCAGAAGGAATTACAAAACATACCACGAGCTCTCTGTAGGTGATTTTTGATGACTTATTAGACTGCTTAATAGTTTGGAAGTTCCTATAGATTGCTTTTGCTAGTTCATAAACGGGGTCGGTGAGAGAAAAAGCTGGGTAGCAAAGCTAGCATGGCCTTGCATTGTGCCTGAGTAGGGAATCTGGTAGGGGTGATTTCTTTCCCTTAAGACCAATTAAGTCTTTACATTTGAAAAAGACTGAGAAATTAAAGCCTGGTTGTAATCTACGCGGCACAGATAGTGCCACTTCTCTGAATGAGCACTATGGTTCTGGCAAGCACATAGAAGAAACTCCTTCAAATTCCGACTACATTGGATGCTGCAGCAGATTTGAATGGTGTTGACCATCATTCTCCATTAATTAGCTTTGGGATGGTACATTTAATGGGGTTTCAGTCATTCCTTGCAGGGAGCTGATCTGTTTGGAGGCAGTCTTCCTGCTGCCAAGCAGCTCTTCCCGTGTCTTCCTGTGTCAGAATGGCAGCCCTTCTGAAAATGGTTTTAGAAGATTATAATTATTTTTTTAATTCCCAAGAATAAATCCCATGTCCATACAGGTTACCCAGGGCTTGAATGACAGGTGTGGGTTTTATCTCACCTGATGTTAACAAGTATTCAGACACTGAGTGAGTGAGTGCACCCCTGTGGAGCAGGGTTCTCACCTGGCCCCTCGCTGACATTGGTGAGCCATCAGCAGGAGCTGCCCAGCAAAATGAGCCATGGTTTTGTCTTATTTTCTGGTGGATGAGTTCTGATTTTGTTGCCACGTTTCCCACATTGCCTGCCTGGCAAGAGAGAACGTTTTTGACTTTTAAATTTGGAAGACATTAGTATGTTGAGAAATTTTAATCACCTTATTTCATGACTTTGGAGCATGACATAACATGATCTGTTGTCAAGGCTAGATCAACACCTGTGGCTGTGGTGCTGCTGAGGTGAGAACGGTGCACCCTTCTGGACTTGCTTGGTTGCAGCCACAAAGCAAGTATGTGACAAGAAGAGCCACCACGGGTACATCCTGCCACGGGGCAGAGAAGGCCACCATTCAGCCCTACACTGCTTAGGGATGTCATTGGGATTGCCTCCATTAGAAGTCAGCCTTTTGGGGTTAGTGATTTGTGCTCAGATACTAACATTATTAATAGCCACTTACAGCCAGCGGGTAGTCAATAAGTCAGTACTCGGGTGACTGCCGTTTGCTGGGCAGTGTGGAGACTCTTGGAGATGCTAATTGAAAGGTCTCTATGAGATATTTAAGCATAAAAATGGCTACGGTGAGTTAGATGGAAACAAACTGCATTAATGGTTTTAAGAGTTCCAAAATGATTCGGTGCATTTGGGCAAGCTATTCTTCAAGACAGACCAGTCTCGCTGCTCTCATGAATAGCTTTAAGCTCACCTCAGCTGAATTCATCTAATTGATTAACAACTTTATTGTCTTTGCAGCAAAATAGTATAAAGGTTAGACAGAGACAGTTGAATAATTTTTATCAAGTTGAATTATTTTAATTGCAATTATTTCTAGATGTGTGTTTTCTTTTAACATTGACAATTTAAAAAGATTTGCAAAAGCTTTGCTTCAATGTTTCCTTCTCATGGGATTCTTAAACAAAAGACAGTAATTTAAAAATAGATTTTACTGTTCATCTGTTGACTGTGGGTATCTTCCAGCAAGGAAATGATCTTTTTGATCTTTTGTTTCCAATGGACTGTTAATAATTTCTCCTTTTTTGTTTGACATGGAATGCATTTGAAATTATAAAGACATCTTTGAGGCAAAGATAAATTATTATTTAGGTTTTAAAGACGTGGAGAAATTCAAGTCTGTCATTTTGCAGACAAATAGAACAAAATCTATTTTAGTTGTCTTTTTTAAGATTTATTTATTCATGCATACAGAACTGGAGGTGCAGGGGCAGTGAGAGGACTCACAGAGACAGGGGGGCAGAACAGGCAGATTGACAAAGTACACTGCTGAGGGGAGCAGTGGGTGATACAGGAGAGGTCTGCTGCACCATGTAGGTCAGCACCTTGGCCAGGGATCGAACTCACTGAAGTGGCTGCGGCCAGCTTGCGGTGCTGAGCTTTAACCCGCTGCGCCACCATTAATTGTTTGACGTAGGTAAGCCAGTACTGACTTCCAGGTTACAAAAATCTAGACCTTAGATTTTGTGACTCTTACTTTAGAAAGCACATATTTTATCACAAGACTTCTTTTTTTTTTTTTAAACCTAGAGAATTATTATTACCTGGTCACCATTAACTGTAGTTAGTTGTCGGCATTCTGTGACTGTCTGAAAAGTGACTGTGCTTAATTCCATAGTGCAATCTTTCAAAGTCCACAAAAATAGGAAGTCGTTTCCTTGTAACATAAGATGATTTTCTGCGTGTGTGTTCTGAATAGCTGAAGAAGTCACGGATCTGAAGAGGCAAGCAGTGGAAGAGATGATGGACAGAATTAAAAAGGGCGTTCACCTGAGACCGGTGAATCAGACCACCAGGCCTAAGGCGAAGGTGAGGTGCAGCAGTTCCTTTCCTCCTGAGGTTCCTTTTGGAAATGTAAAAATTGAAGATTTGATGAAGCCACATCAAGACCGTCGAATCTTAGCATAAGACTATCGTGTTTTGGGCAAACGGCGAGCCCTAAATCACTGCAGAAAGGAGGCAGCTGTGGCATCGCCAGTGCTGTCCAAACAGTTTGAGGCGCCTTTTTGTTCCTCTACTTCCTGGTTCATTTGTATCAGTGCAGATATCTCATGAGTATCAGCTGTGTGCCAGGTACAGTTGTGGGCACAGGGGATGAGGCCAAACCTCTGGCCTTCCCTCAGGTCTGTCTCGGTGAGGACTGGGGTAGTGTGGGGGAACATCTGGAGGGATAGTAAAGCCAGAGGGGTGGAAGACAGCTTTTGAGAAATACTGACATTTGTAGGTTGTTCAAGTCTGTCAAAAGGACCTATTCCAGGTCACTTCCAGGAGAAAGTTGTAGACACATATAAATGAACCTTGCTGCCTGTGTGTCATCAGCACCCTCTAAACCAGACCACTGCCAGGGCTTCCGGACTCACGGAAGGACGGAGAGCCCAGTGCGCACTCCTCTGGGTGTACATGTCCTTGCGAACAGATCCAGTCCTAGAGTTCTGGGCATGTTTCGTGACAGATGTTTTCTCTTTCCTACTTCTAGTAAGGCATCAGCAGATTGGTTCTTCTCTTCCTCCAGACTAGACTTTTTTGTTTCTTACCGCCACTGATACCTCCCTTCCACTGCATCAGTGGTACCAAGTATGGTGACTATTCAACACAAATTCCTTTGAGCTTTTATGGTGACCACTTTGTCATCAGCCAGGCAGCAGTGGCTGTAGTGTGGGCTGTCCGCAAGGGGCTGGAAGTGGGTAAAACACTCACCTCCAAGGCCAGACTTGAATCTGGGGAAGCGGAAGCTTCAGCCGGCCGTGCAGAGTAGTCCAGCTCGGTGTCCGTGCTCTGCACGCCGTGGTAAAGGAAGCCGTGGCAGCTGTGGAGTGGAAGAGGGGCTGGCTGTCCGGCAGCCTGGCACCATGTTGGGTTCGGTCTGGTGACTCTGCTGCGGCGGGGGGTGGGGTGGGGCCTGGCACATGCAACTTTCCAGACTTTTCTTTCCACAAAGCAGAAATCACGCCCTGCCCTATCTATTAGATGCACAGGGTTGGTGTCAGGATTAAATTTATGAAGGCGTGAAAGTACTTTCAAATGGAGGGGTGAAGGGGCATCTTGGAATGGAACACATTTTATGACACATGTCATGACTGTCATGGGAAGAGTAAGTGAAGCCAGCATGACTAGAGAAAAATGCAGGGTCAGAAAGGAGCAGAAGCCATTTAGAAAGAAAAATGTGGAAAACTTCTGAAACCTAAGCAATGAATGTTCCATATGTACTTTCACTTTCAAAACATCACTTTGCCTTTTTCTTTCTCTCCACGGCTCTCCCAACAGTCGTCGTTATTTAATGTCAAAATCGGGGAAACAGCTGAGCAAGGATCAGTGGACTACTGGGTTATTTGCTGGTAATCATTAAACGACGACCTGGCCAGCGCCTTTAAAACATGGTCACAGCATGCTTGAGAGCAGCCGCTTCCCCCGCCCATCAGCGCTGGCCTGAAATGTCAGCCACCAGGAGAAGCGGCCCCGGCTTCCAGAGCGCCCCTGCATGGCAGGCGGCACTTCTGAATATGCCTTTAGCCAGAGCGTTTGCTTAGTCACAGCTTGTCACCTGAATGGTTTACCTGAGAAGTCAAACCTGCCTGCAGAAGACCAACTTAGCTGCAGTTTTCTACAGTTTTCTGCAGCTTTCTGCTGTTGGCAGTTCCACTGTGGTTAAAGCCTGTGCCTGAGAGCTCATGACTGGCGCTGTTACCTGCCACTGGCGGCCTGTTTTCCCAGGCGGCCTAGGCTGTGTGCGTTGGCTACCCTGGTCTAATGTGCCCACGAGCAGCAAGCCTCTCTCTCTCTCCCTCACAGTTCATTTGCTGAGACTGACATGGGGTCTTGTTCTGATCTTTGGAGAGGAAGGGATTATAGGTTGTTATTAACCACCTCCCATTCTTGATGAGGGAGAAGCCTTCACTCTTTTCCAGGAATGAGGGGACTTCGGGTGGGCGGTTTCTCCCGTCTGTCTTGCAGTTTTTCTCTTCTGCGTCCTGGGTGAAGGACGTGGCATGGGGAGACTCAGAGGCCCTTCTTTTTCCTGGGAGTCTTATGCTGAAATTTGCCCTCCATTAAATTAGTTAAGGGATCCACACGGACTGTTAGGTAGTATGGGGCAGACACATGTCACACAGAATTTCATGTCCAATTAGTTTGCTCGAGGTATGGGCAGAAGAGAACTGGGCTTGGATTCCAGACACCAGACTCAAACACGCCTTCCTCAAGGTAGAACTCCCTCATGAATATGAGGGAGTGATTGGCCTGCACACGCCTGAGGCCCTCTGCTGTGGAATGCTAACATGTCTCCCGCCAGCCAGCTCCTATGCTGAGCCCTGCCTTTTGACTCAGTGCTGTTCCAAAATTCCTGAAGCCAGGCCTGCCGGTTTGGTCTGCAAACGGCCTTGGCTTGGAGCTCCAAACTGGCCTTGGTCTGCAGCTCGTGGAGCTGAGAGAGGTTTGTGTCCCGTGCCTTGCTTTCTGCCCTGCTCTGCTGCAGCCTTCCTGCCCCTCGCTTGCTGGTCAAAGTCCAGTTCCACAAGTGCAGACAAGTTTCTTGTAAAATGTTCTGAATCATTTTGAATTAGATCTTTGAAATCTAGTGTTTACCGCATGTTTCCAATCGCTGATGGTAACTGGAGGTGACGAGATGGTTCATAGAGGATGTAGCTTGAATCCTTTTGTTTTGCGAGTTACTTCTAATTTTCTACTTACCAGCCCCTTGGGGACACTAACAATATTTCATAGTCCCCCCTAACCTTAGGATGTAGACCTAATTAAAAATCACAGTCAATATAAGCTACCAATAATTTGCCATGTAAGTCTTGTTTAGTGTCATAAAACTGACTAATAACTCAATCATTTTTTTCTGCTTAAAATTGTAGCCAGAATCTTCAAAAGGCTCTGAAAGTGCAGTGAATGAACTCAAAGGAATACTGGTAAGACCAGATCTCACTTTAATATTGAGTTAATGGGTAAATGAAAGAGGAATGTCTTAAAAATCTGTTTTTATGGGTAATTGGTCTTCATCTGCTTTATGTCCATTTACAGTGAGCCTCATTTCTTTGGATCATTGACTGTCCTGCTGTGGACCATCCCTGTCATGTGTGTGATGTGTCTAGCCTTGGTTGTTTCTATTTAGACAGGAGGGCTACACTTCCATCAAATCAGTGTTTCCTGTTCTTCACTTCCAATCTTTGCATTACAGCTTGAAGATCAAGTGTTGGGCAGATATGAGGATAAGTATACGCTTATTAGTAACAGAAACACAGCCGAGTCTAATGTATGGCTCGTGGCTTTACTTCAGGGCAGGAAGTAGACTTCTTGGCAACTTCCTGGCAAATCTGAGCTTCTACCCAAATTTAATAGTATTAGGACTGTAGTCTGCCTTTCCCCATGGCTTAAAAAATTATCTGATGATAAATTGAAGAACAAATTAGAGTCCCTTTATGTTAACTCATTTCATTGGTAAAAGGCCCATTTCAAAGTCATCTTTCTTTTTGCAAAGGGCGGACTTGTGCCAGCAGAATAAATAAGTGTAGCCCAACAATTGCTATCAGAGACAGATGCCTCGCTTAGGGAATGTTTCAGATATGAAAGCCCTATTCTCAGATCCTGTTGCAGTCTCAATACCAGTTATTAAGCACAGTAAGTCAACAAACATGGGAGCGTAGGCCCAGAACGAGTATTCCCATGTTTGTTGTTACTGTGCTAATTATGCATTGCATGTAGACATCCACATAATTGAGGTAAACAAAATTATTTTCATCAAACATGAAGCCGTAGACTTAACTCATAATAGCTTAATTACTTTGATTAAGTTTTAGGTAAGTGGAATTAGTACTCAAGAGAGGCCTATCTGTGGCTAACTGTAGAGGTTTACGTACAGAATAAGAATTAAAGCCATTGAGAAAGTATGTGGTTATTTTCCTTGATGAGAAATTTTGTTATCCAGAGTTCCACTAAGGAGAACCAGGACAGTCCCTTTTGTTAGCTCCATGCTGTAGTGCTGATTCCCATTTTAGCAGCTCTTCCCAGAGCAGTGTGTGGGTCTGGAGTGTCTGTCTGATCATTGGTGAAAGAGTAAACCATTCTGAGTTTGACCTCTACAAAATTAAATTTATTTGAAAAATCAGACAGATACCCATCTGTATGAGATACCTGTATTTGACTACCTAAGATATCTAAGATATTCCTGATAATAATGGATGGTGACCAGTTTACCGGAATTACAGTGGTGCTCTTAAAACTCATGTTCACTGTATGGTAATATTTGCTATAATTTGTGTCACTTCAAAGAAAGATACTTGTGAAATTGATTTGTGTGAAATAATTTAGGTTTAACAATTTGCAAAACAAATTTCTTTTCTACAAATTGTCCCATCCTCTTTGCCCTGAATTTATAGGTAATATTTTTACTTTAGTCTGGCATTAATGTATCCCTAATAGCAATTATTTGGGCAGTATTATTTCTTTGCAGTGAATTTTTTTTTAAAAAATGAACTCATAATACTCTCCTTAATTGTCTTTGCCAACTGGTCATTCTCTGCAACCCAGATTTTTTGTTTGTTTGTTTTTTGAGAGACAATGGATCATTTGTAGCTCCCAATCCCAGAGGCCAAAAACCATCTAGATCCTTGTGTGAGAGAGAGCCCCTCCCCAGTGGGGCTTCATTGGTGGTTCTTGCTGGAGTTTGTTAGTACCCACACCACTGACTTCACGGTTCCAGCATGTGAGAAGCAAATGTGGAAAGAACCTGAAAGGTGGTTGTTCCACCGTGGCGCAGAAACCTGCGGAATCTCAGTGTGGGGTTCTTGGCTGACATAGAACAGTGACTTGAGTTATAAAAGACACCCTCGGATCAAGCCCCATCCACTGCTGAAAGTCAGGTGGCTAAGAGCCAACCTCTGCTTTGGGGGGCTGGAACCCTACTACATTTTGAGTTGTACAGTTTTCAAGCCAACTTTTAAAGTCCCTGTGTTGACCACACTTATTTTTCCACATCTGTTTATGCTTAATTTTTTTAAAACTGGGTATTGTGTATAATAAAAAAATTATATGATTCATTTCCATATTTAGACAAAGGTGACCTGAGTGATCCCAATCATTTCAAAGTCACTCTGTGTGGAAATGGTAACATCTCCAAAAAAAATCAACAAATAATAAAATAAGTTTTGTTGCTTCTAAGTCAAAGCAACAATAACAGCTTTTAAGCAGTCTCTTTTGGGACTTTTGGGAGCAGCCTCAGTAGTTCAGAATTCCCTCTGATTATTGAATACTTACTTGTGTCACCTGACAATATAAGTCAGTATTATGAACATTTAACTACTATTGGGGGGGGCGAGAAGATTATTAAATGATCAAAATGGTTTGAAGAAGAAATAGTGGGCTGGTTTGGGAATTCAAAGAGTTAAGTCCAAGGTTCAGCCCCATCACTGACTTATCTTGATTCCTGGTCTAAAACTCAAGACTCAGAAAATTGGATTTCTCTTCTTGGAAAATACAATTATATGTACTAAGTTAGTTTCTAAGTTGAGACAACCATAGTGCTTTATCAGCTGAGTATCATGCGGAAACCTTTCTTCCCTCCAAAGTTGCTTCCATATTAAAAGTTTGCTCTTGAATTAGTCTATCATCATCAGCAATCAGTGAGTGACGAAATAAGTTTGGGATTCAGGGATTAGAACTTGGAAAATGGATTCTTTCAGGTATAAGGTGTGATGAAAAGGTAGCTCACCACACAGTCACGAACTTGGGGAGTGGTGGTGCCATCCAAATGCAAACAGAGAATACCACAGAACATAAAGTGTTCAGTGAAGATGCCCCTGAATTGCGCATGTGTGTGTACACACCATGCACACGCACACACACATTCTCTCTTTGAATTAACTCCAGTCTCTGGGAAATTACACTGAATTACATTCCAACAATGTAGTAGTTTTGTGAGTTATTTGAATAGTAATGACCATAAGTTTTACAAATCTCTCTGTATAAGGGATGCAGCTATGAAGTTTTTTTAATCATAGACATAAATGATTTGAGAATCGTTTTTCTAACATTTTTTAAAATTGATCTAAATTGTCTTTAGTTCTGTTTTTATTACTCCATCAGTTTAGTTTCATTCTTATTTTATAATTCTCTGATGATTAGGTACAGCTCTGGATTAACGTTTAAATGAATAAACCAAGCTAACTGTTAAATTAGCTGTTCCAGATTAACTGTTAAAATAAGAAACCTAATCATCTAATTTTTAAGTAATTAAATACTATTATAGTGTTACATATAATATGATATTCCTTTGAATATATCTTACACATTTTGTAATAAAATTACATTTTATAAATTTTGTAATAAAAGGCAGAGGTACCTGGGGCAGGGGAAAAGAATATACTCTTCTAACCTTATTATTCTTCCCCTATGATAACAGGCTGCTTTTCTATAACTTTAAGCAATTTGGGGGAAGAAACCTTTCTAAACAAAACAACATGATAACCTATGTCATGTAAGGTTTGTAACTACCTTACATTACAAGCGACTTTTTTGCTTTATAGACTGAAGAAGAAACTTGAGTTACCATTTTTAGCCAGTAGAATTCTTAGAACCCTTCAAGAAGCTGGCAGTGGGCAGGAGTCAGGGTTAAGGCAAGCCCTTAGGGAACTCAGAGATGACAGGCCAGTCTGGTCATGAGCCTGGGTAGAGAAATACTACTTTAGACTGTGGCAATGAAGCCTGGCAAGTTATACCAGACTTGAGCTTCTGATTTTCTCTGATCAGAAGATTATGGTTCTCCTGGTTCCTCCTCTCTTACCCCCAAGCCTGCAGCATAACTGTGGAACATTGTTTCAAAGGAATAGCAGGCTTTCCTTATGAAAGACACTGAGCCATTTGTAATAGTGGGGTGCTAAATCCTTGCATGCAAAAAGTCCATTACCCAGTTTTCTGCACAACCACCTGACTGGGGCTGGAGATAGAAAAACACAGCTCTCCCACCACCACATACTTGCAGAGGAGGCGGGGAGGGCTCACCGCTTGGGTCTGGCTCTGTCATCTTGGAAGTCAGCCCAGACTTGAGTAGGTGTCCAGCTTCAGGGTATCTCTCATTTCCTTACTGTTTTCTAGCCCTAATAATCCATTCTTTAGGAAGACGGAATAGGACGCCAGGCCCTTTCTTGTCTTGCTGTCTGATTAACCTTCTTCCTTCACTCTGAAGTCAAGGTGTACTCAGTTCACTGCTTCTTTGGGTAGGCCATGAGAGAGCATCACGTGTCTCCTTGGGCTGCCACACCTTTGCCACCAAGTGTGCCACCGGGGTTATTCTCGCTGAAGAATCAGCCACACATTTGTCAGTGCCACAGGGATTTGGGTTCAGTAGCTTATGGCTGCCCTATCAAGATATTCTTTGAAGGTGAGTTCAACGTGTGCTCTCTTCTCCACGCAGTGGATTAGCACGCATCGGAATCTTAACACGTCAATATACACGTGCTTCCCTACCACCGAATCTCACGTAGGCAGCTCCAAAGGGGGACTCCTTGTGCTGTTCTTCTGATATCAAAGCCAACATCTTACATCACCACTAACGTCATCTGGAGTGATCCAACACTAGCTCTTGTTGAAGATGCTCACATTTAAAATATATACATGGCAAATTCATTTTATTTCCTAATTCCATTCAAATTCTGGTAATATTTTGGTAATTTGATTTTTATATTCTTTTGTTTATTGTATTAAGACATTAACCGTTTTGTTTTTGTTTTTGTTTTGTTTTCACTTTAGGGGGCACTTAACAAATCCACTAGTTCCAGAAGCTTAAAATCCCTTCACACTGAAAACAGTGAAACTGAGTTAGAAAGGATTCTGCGTCGCAGAAAGGTGACAGCAGAAGCGGATAGCAGTAGTAAGCTAATTTGATTCTCCACAGCTCTGTCCTTCTTCTCGGAAACATCTTTCTATAGATCCCTTTTTAACATGAAATCGTATTTTTAAAATTATTATTTGTTTTAATGTGAATGAGAAGTAATGGATAGGCAAAGGTACCTCAGGACATTGCCAAGAAATGCTTAATTGTTTTTATTTACTGTTGTATTTATTTATTTGTAAGAAATTAGCTTTTTTTTTAAAGATTTATTTATTTATGCATACAGAACTGGGGTTACAGGTCAGAGGTGCAGGGGTGGTGAGAGGATTCACCAGAGACAGTGGGGAGCAGAACAGGCTGACTGACAAAGTACACTGCTGAGGGGAGCAGCGGGCGGGTCAGGAGAGGTCTGCCGCGCAATGTGGTCACCCCCGGGGCGGGCGGGGATCGAACTCATGCAGAAGTGGCTTTAGCTTCTTAGTGCTGCGCTTTAAACCACTGCACCCGAAATCAGATTTTTATAGCTCCCTGCCTTGCTTAAAGCAAAGTGCCCTGTGTAAAGGCCCTGACAACAATACCACAGGGAGCCTCGGCTCTGGAATCAGAATCAGGACACCTAAATTTGAATCCCAGCTCTGCCATCTCTTAGCTGCTTGGCCTTAATCAAATTTCTCAACATTTCTGTGCTTCTGTTTCTTCATCTGTAGAAAGAGGTTAATAAAAATACTACTTCAAAGGATTATTCTAAGGATTAAGGAAGTCGGTGTAGCAAATATGCTTAGCACTATAATGGAACAAGCCCTGTGGGTTGCTTCCTGTTTACCCAGTCTATGGGCCTCACCCACCCACTTAGGAATATAAGACATAAGCTAAAAGCAGGCAGGAGGAAAAAAAAAAAAAAAACAATAACAAAACTCATTTATACAGAGAGTGAGAAAAGAGAGAGGAGAGAGAAGGCGGGAAATTTACAGGCAGGTATATGCCCGGATGTCCTATAGTATCTGCTGAGCAGGGACCTAGGTTCAAGCCAAAGCCACACACGGCAAGTTGATGACTTTTTCACAGACATCCTTCCTCACCAGCAGCCGCCCCCACTCAGGAATGGAGTCTAAAATTCCACCTTCTGCCACTATGAGTACTGCTCTTTCTGGCTCAGAGCTTGGTCCTCAGTGTTTCTCTAGTAGCTTTATACCTGGCACGAAATCAGCACGCAGTAGTGTAGTAATGTTAGGGGGAAAGGATGTCCTGAACGAACTCTACAGATACAGGTTTTGTGGACCTCATCCCCACTCCAGACACCAGAACAAATCCCAGCAACACCAAAGGGAGGACTGCAAGGGCCCAAGGGCGGACCCAAGCAGCCATTTTGGGTTTTGGGATATGAAACTGGACATGTTGGACTGAGGGTCTCTGTCTCTCTGGGCCTCGTGTCTGGCAGCTGGTCGCTTGGTTCTTGATCAGCTTTCAGTATGCTGTTGGGGTTCCAGGTCAGCAGAAATGGTAGGACACATTAGTTAACTTGTATCACATTATTGACCTTTCTGTGTGTGTCTGAAGTGCAGTTGAATCTTAAGCACGCAGGTGAGGACCCACAGACAGGCACCCCAGTTCCCGCTGGGTTGCTGTGTAACAGTAATAGTTCACACTTCAGCTGCCACTGCAGAGAATCTTTATTTCTTTTTATCTGGTTTTGTTTTATTGCCTCTGTGTGCCCAGTGAATAAGAAATCCCATCTCTGTCAAGTGACCTTCCAGGCAAGTCTTGTGCTCAGCCTGCATTTTGCCATGATGCACATGTGCTGGGCTTCAAGATCTGTGTAGAACTTGACTTTGGTTTTTGTTTTGATCAGTTTGGTCACAGGAATTCATGTAAATCTTTGTAAGGTTTTTTCATTCCTGATTCCTGTGGCATGGGCAGAAGCTTTAAAAAACTACTCCAAAGTTTAAAAAAAAAAAAAAAAGACTCCAAAGTCAAATAATTAATCAGCTACCATTGGTAATTGGCTGAAAATTTTAGATGCAGTTTAGTCAACTCATTAATCATAGTTCAGATTTGCAAAGTCATGCTCACTGAATTTAACTTGCTACAGCGTTAAAGATTTTGGTTTTTGATAGTCACTTCTAGTTTCACCTAGGGTTTTACTCAAACAATGGGGTACATTGGTTCCTTAAGCCAAAAGCACCATAATACCGGTCAGACCTTTATTAGAAAGCAGCGAAACCTTCATTTCCTTCTCAAAAGAAAAAGGAAACACTCTCCCTGGTGGCTCAATAGGTTAGGATGTGGCACTTCAAGCTGGCCACTGGCACTTCAAGCTGGCCACCGCCACTTCAGTGCGAGTTCGGTCCCTGGCCCCAGAGGTGACCCACAGGGCGTGGCAGACCCATCCTGACCCATCCACTGCTCCCCTCAGCAGTGTACTTCGTCGATCTGCCTGTTCTGCCCCCCACTCTGTCTCTGGTGAAGCCTTTTACCACCCTGCACCTCTGGCTGGTACTCCAGTTCTGTATGAATAAATAAATCTTTAAAGAAAGAAAGCAAAAACCCAGCTCATCAGTTTTTAGTGTGATTTGGAAGCTCTGCTGGTAAAAACCAGTAACAATTTCATTTCTCCACCCCACATCCCAAAGAATAGCCACCTCTATGGAAGGTTATGAGAGATTTTTTCCCCCCGTTGGGCTCACTTTAAAAGCATCTTTCCAGCCGCCATAATGAATCATTATTCACTTTGTGACTTAATCATTGTTTTCAACATTTCATCCTTAAAATACTCATGGTAGGCATTATTTTTTAGGGTGTTATATATGTCATTTTGTGCTCTGAATTTTGCCTCTGACACAGCCGATCTTCTGGAAGCTTTCTTCACTCTTGAGAATAGTACAATAGCACTCAACCACTTCAGTGTTAATTTTCAATGAGAGAACATTTTCATTTCAGACTATGAGAATGTGATAATTTTATAGGTATGACAAAAATGTTTCATTTATTTATTATGTTCTGCTGATGTCCACATATTCAATTTATCATTTGAGGAAAGTAGAGACTATTCAAAAGAAGTGATAGTTGGATAGAGAAATAAAAATGGTGTAACTGGCAGTGTGGAGAGGAAGCACATGCTGAGGAGAGAGACTGGTTATTGAGTAAAAGGTTTTCTTTTGTGCTTCCTAATAGCCAAAGCAAAAAAGGGAGAGGGAAGGAAACCATTACAAACTTCCATCTAGCAAAAGAAAGGGTTCCACATTTCCCACAAGTGTCTTCCTAGCGTCAAACTGGAAGAAAGATTTACATGAAAGCCCCTTATAAATGTCATGAAATGACAATGTGAAAATTCAGGGGTGGAAAATGAGGAACTAAAGCAACACAACTATGTGTATGGTGAGATCGAATTGTAGAGGTCAGTCTGATAGGTTTGTCACTCAGGTATTCTTGAATCTCCAAGATTTTTCTTTCTTCCGGCAGAGTGCTGGGAAAGCTACATGTGTGGTCCCACAGTAGAGAAAGCACCGTAGGGGGAGCGGAACAGAACACAGCTCCTAAGTCAGCTGCTATCTCTCAGGGGTCAGTGCCGCATTTTTTTTTTTTTTTTAACAGCTTTTCTCACTGATACTCTCTTGTTTTGCCTAGACTTGTAGCCTACCAAACATTTTAAGGAGCAGCAGGTACCTCTTGAAAAATGCTGGGCAACTTAAATGGGATGCAGTAATAAAAATAATAACACTCTTAAACATGTATTTTTCTTTATTTATTTTTGTATGTTAGAAAAATGAGGGCTCTGGCTCAGCTCATCCACTCTCTCTGCTTTTGAACTAGCTTTACTTGCAGAATAAGCAGTAGGCATTGGTATGTTCAGAAACAGATCTTGCTTTCCCACAAGGAAAGATGGTTCGAAGCTATCTAATGTAGTAGCCAACAGTTATCCAAGGACAGAATAGAGCTGAAGCAAGTCTTGAATTTATTTCGTATATTTATTTTTCAGGAACTTTCTTGATCTTTTCTATACCCACCTTCAGAAACAACATATGAGGCCCAATGTAGTTGGGAAGGAACCATGAGAGTGTCTTCTGCCCAGATTGTATAAATGAAATAAATGAGGAAACTTTGCAGCCTGACCCCCGGGTATCCACACTTCCCACACAGAGAAAGGCTGAAGCTGACACAACAGGACAGCCACGTAATTTTCTAGTCTCTTAGGTAGGGTTTTCAGATTAGGATGCCATTATTGATAGAATACATCCATCATTCATATATAGTCAAGAATAAAATTCCACAGCATACGATCAACCATTAGGGATTAACTAGCATTTTGGTTTCTACCCTCTAAGTACTTTGCAATGGAGGAGTTGATCTGACATTTCTTAAATACAAAGAGACTCCCAGGTTCTTAGTGGCACCTCTAGCTTAATTTTTAGAAGTTTAGTGTTATTTGCCTATTTGTTGCTTGCTATATAAATTTCTTTGTTTTAAAAGGATTCTGAAATTTCAGGAAACATAGAATCTTGCTTTGAGAAAAACTGTCAAGAATAGTATCTTTCAAACTAGAGACTGAATAGGAAGTAATGATGGTGCTTAGCTTCGCTCCAAGGCCCAGAATTTTTAGCTTGATATGCCAATAATTTCAGTAACAAGCCCTTGTACTGTTTTAAAATTCTATCCCAAAGAGCAGAAAAGTCCAAACTCTTTGCCACTTAATTTTTATAATCCTGTGCCTGTATTTTAAGGAGAAATAAATCCACTTACTTCTCAAGCACATTAAAATGAAAATGTTCATAAAAGCTGTTTAATGCTCCAGAAGCCTTTACGAGCCTTTTTAAAAAGAGCCTTTCACATTGTTCCATTTTCTGTTAAAAATGCAGAGCTGAGTTTTGGGAAGAATTAACTCTTGAGAGGCCAAATGGTTCAAACAGGGCTGTCAGAAAGCCACACTCTATCAGAAGGAAAGTACCCCACAACCCACTGAAGGCTCTGGGCAGCTCGGGACCCAGGGCTTGGGCTTTGTGGCTTCCTAAAGGCGTGAACACGATTTCTTGGCGTGGTCCTGGCACATTGAGAAGCACAGCACCACCCGTGCAGAGCAAATTTCTCATAGGAACATTTTTCCCAGCCTGAATTTTCAACAAACTTGGCCTTTTCACTTCGCGAGGGATTTTCAGCGAATCTGTTTTTCACTGCCATGTTAACCAGCATCACTCAGACTTACTAAACTTGAGGTATGTGTTTGGTTTTAAGGTCCAACCGGGATATTAGCCACCTCAGAGTCCAAATCCATGCCTGTGTTGGGTTCTGTATCCAGAACAGCCTTGAACAAGAAAACTCTGGAGGCAGAATTCAACAGCCAGTACCCCCCAACACCTGAGCCAGGTGAAGGGTCGTGTAATTTGGAAGGATGTGCAAGTCCCAAGGTTGCGTTTCAGTAAGTAATGACGCTCTTTACTAAGCAGTGTGTCGAAGACTCTCTGATGACTGACCTGTGTGTTGCTTTGCATTATTTCTCTCTAGAGAGATGTTGACTGAGCTAGCCAGCAAATACTCTTCTTCCTGCATTTGATGAGCAGCTTTTGATTCTGGGCTCCTAGCATATAGGTCTTAGTCTGGTCCAAAGCAGACATGCACTAAGAGACTTCCTGAACTGGTTAAGTAATCAGATTCTTCTTCTACACAATGAATTGACCTGGGTGATACTTATTCATCATCAGATTATACTTAATCATCCTTTCAAGATTAAGTGTGTACATAACCCCTCTTAATGGTTCAAGAATAGCCAAGGAAGAGACAAGATCTTCAAATGTACTTGAAGGGGATGTTCTTACAACCTTATTTTCTGATCGTCAGCTAAAGTTGTGCCTTAACATTGCTCGCCCCTGGGAATTAAAATATCCAGTGTAAAGAGTTGTATATGTAGACTTGCTCAACAGTGGCACTTTGATTGCCAAAGTTAATCCTGTTATTGAATGTGTTTCAGGCAGACCTCGTGGAGGATCAATTTGTTTTATAACAATGGCAAGCTCTTTTTGAAATTATTCTAGTTTTGCTTTAGTTCTCTTGCCAGGATGTCAGCTGATTTGTCACTTAAAGAAAAGGAAGAGGTGAGACAAATCAGATCAGCGGAGTATTGTAATCACGGTTAATTAAACCTCTGATTTCCTGTTCTATCAAGAGAGAAAGAACCTCCTTTTTTTTTGTAGCTCTACCTGTCTTAGTTTAAAAGGTGAAGCCTGGACAAATGAGGTTGGAATTCAATTTAGATCTATTTTTGCCAACTGGTATTTTCTTCCACTCTTGCATTTCTCTGTTACTATTAACTATTTTTTTTTTTCTCCTCTGGAATGAATGACCTTCTCAGATTTACAGTTTTATCTAATTTCATTGTGTCTAAAAGCACATTTTCTCCTGCAGCCATGGGTTTTCTTTCTTTTGACTGGAGTCATTTGAACAGTTCTAACAGAAAGATGATCTATATTCATTCTTCATCTTTCCTATTAAATTTGTTTAACACCTAATTTGACATCAGCACTCTGGCTACATTTGAACCAATATCTAGACACAAAAGCAATTTGGCTGAGACAAGTTAGTTTCTGAGAAAGGCTTCAGTGTGTATGTATAGATTTTTTTCTTTTACCATTTTACACAGATAATCTTAATCAGAAAATACTGCAACTCCTTCCTCCTTTTGTCTGCCTTTTATTCTCCAAAAGTAAGTGGAAATTACATTTCCAAGAAAGGAAATGAAATAATTGCAGGCCCAAGGTCTGCAAAATGTGTGCTGAATTGACAGTGAAAAGGATCCATGTGTTGACAGACACAGTTGTTAGATGCCATAAAGGCTCATGTGAAGCTCAATTTATTTCGCATCTTGCTTGTTCAATGACTGCTTAAGAGACACATTTCAATTTAATTTATCTACTTAAAGCACTAATACAAATACTGTGTGCTGTTGTATTAACTTTTAAACTTTGTAACTTAATGCTTGATTCTTCAGTTCTTGACATTCTTTACCTGAAATAACTAACGCCACATATTTTCACATTGACAGTCACTTAGCACAGAAGAGCACCTCTCTGAAAAATCTGCCTCCTTATTATATGCGGTTAAACTGTCCAAACGAACCCAAGCATTTCGTGTATATACATGGCTATTACTCAGTTCCCAGACAGGCTCAGTTCATTTATTTATAGTTAAACCCAGCTTTGAAGGTTTAAATGCAGTTACATGCAGGTTTTAAAAGTAAAAACTCACATGATCTGTCCAGATTCCGAAACCCAGCCTAGCTGCTACCAGTGGAGAGGGTGATTTTCAGGGCCGTTTCCGCCCTGAAATTAAGTTGATAATTAAGTTCACGCTGTTGGACTAGCCATAAAGCAGAGGCAACCACATTGTGTTACTTCACAGACCGAAATCATCAGAGCACTTTGAAGTCACATCAGCCAGTAAAAGGTGAGATCCTTCCTTCGCTGTCTTTGCGCCCTAGTCCTGCACCTTTGTTTTGTCGGGACACCGCTACCTGCTTTGGGAAATGGCACTCCTGGCTCTTGGCAGAGAGTCACGGTCCGGGGAGGACATCGGTCTCAGTCACACCAGTAAATGCACACACACTGACGCTCCCCCACTCCCTGTCCGTCCTCCCTCCACCTTGGCCTATTTGACCAAGAATCATTCCACCCCGGCTGGTGGCTTCTGCTAAGCACTTTGCTTCACACACTCTTCTCCTAGTAGCTACCTGATGTACTGTTTCACCTCCACTAGTTCTTGCTTTTCAGTCAGGCCTATCCCAAATACGCGACTTAAAATTGTAACTCATGGATCCAAACTCTGGTTCCCCTATACCCTCCCTGGTGCTTCCCAGCAATTACCTTTGAACGTCCTTTCTACTTTATTATATCTATTGCTTTTGCTTTCTTCCCCCGCTAGAATGGAAGCTCCATGAAGGCAGAAATTTTGGGGGTGCTGATTTTGCTCACTGGTGTATCTCAAACACCTGGAAAAATCCCTGAAATCCCTGCCTTCTAGGAGGCTCTTGATAAATACTTGTTGAATAAATAAGTGATTGAGCACATGTTCAGAATCAATAAAGTGCAGAATATTGGTGATTAGAATACTCCACGAATGAGCATTTCCCAGTTATTCACACACATAAACAACCTAGATATTAAAGGTTTTTGTTTGTTACCTGACTGACTGGGATTTTTTTACATTTTGTAAGTGCCTCAGAGTCATTTACGTTAAGCCTAATGTTGCCTATCATCTACATCTTTGTACTTACACAAGACAAAGCCATCAGAGACACTAGCGTACTGAGTTATAAAAGGAAGGTGCAGCTGTCTTCGTTTGATGGACTTCAGTGGGCAGAAAGGTTTGCTGACCTTCTCAAAGAGATGTTTAGTGTAAGGGTAGAAACATAGATGCCTTCTCAGAAGTGCTTAACCAGAAAATTAAATAACATCCAATGTACTCTGGTGAAGTTTTTTTTTTTCTTTTAATCATTTCCTAAAATCAGGATAGATACATATTCTATATAACTGAATACTGAATAACTCCTATATAGTAAACTGTAGAGCCAGAGATATATCAATTTATTTCCTAGGGGCTTAATGAGAAGGTTAGGGATAGCTTCATACTTAATTGCAAAGATTTACCAACAATGAACTTCTCTTGTCACCAGCCTAAGCAAGGTACTTTTTTGAAAAAAAAAAAAAGAAGAAGAAAATGAAAGGATAACAAGCCTTGTAATGACCTAAATGCTTCCACTTCTATTTTAATAATAGCTTTAGAAATATCAGTGTGCTTTTAAATTCTTCTAGAACATGTAATACTATCGAATAATACCTTAAATCTAACAGTGACCTTTATTTCTTCTGATTAGTTACAGTTGAAACAGGAATTATTTTTGCTTTATGTTCTTTCTTTATACTATGGGGGAAGAGTTGGCAACCAAATGAACCGTTTTAAACAGATTTTTGCTCTCATGATATTTCCTGTTGGTCTAGATTAATCTGACAGTGTTCAAATACAGTAAGACTCATTGATTCAAGCTAATCAATGGGTGGGATGATGAGTGTGCCATAGGGAAAATGCCAATTACAGAATTTTAAAAGAGAATTATTACTTTCAGACAGCTTCATTACCTGGAACAGACTAAGCAAGCGCTACACAGGTCAGAAGCGATTTACATTTTCAGCAATAGAAATCTGTCGCCTGGAGGCGGGGTGGGGGGGCTACAAAGAAGCAGAGTGTGCACAGGCTGGGTTTTTCAGAACTTGACCTTGCCAGCTACAGAGGCAAGGGCTTGAAGCCTGCCTGGGCTTGCTAGTTATTGTCTTTATGACCTTGGACAAGTTATTTAATCTGTGGCTGGTTCCTCGTGTAAGATGAGAGAGGAGCAGCACCCACCTTTTCAGGGTTGTCATGCAAATGAGATAATCTATGACAGTGTCTCAGAAAACTGCTTTTCCACCCTGTGTTAAAGTTACAATTAGCCCTTATTGGATAGTCAGAGGCAAAAGCTAAGAGTTGAAAGCTGAGATACTGGACACCTGGGTTTTTGACTGGGCCTGGTGACCTTAGGAATGTTTTGTGACCTTTTGGTTCATTTTCTTTTTGTTGGGTTTTTCCTTATCTAAGATTGAGGTAGGAAAATTTGACACTCTCTGGTACTCCAGCAGTTCCTTACAAATGTGGTTACATGGTCCCAGCTGGTCCTAGATAAGAGAAAGAACACAGCTAGGCACTTTTCATATACCTATAATGGGTCTCTCAATCCAGGTTTCCAGTGAAACACACGAAAACCTAGAAATGTAAGAATATCAATTTTTAAACATCATCAGAATTTATCCATCCAAATCCAAAGAACTGTTACTCTTCAGAATAGTACTTTAGGGGTCAAGATTCTCATTCCAGCCCTGTGGCTATAGCCTCAAATGCTTTTAGACCCCTTTGGATTAGACATTTCTGGTCACAGAGGAAATACATTGGGCAGCCTTTCCTGTCTGCTTATTTTGGGTCATTACCCATCATCCTCACACACCCCCCCCCTTCTTTTCACCTCTTCCTATGGCCGACCCATGCAAGGAAAGAAAATGTGAACTCAGAAAACAAAGAATGCTGAAAGAGGAGAGCCAATTAGGAAAAATACTTACAGAGTGACTGGAAGGAAATCACTTTAATGTTTTTCATGCCCATAAAAAGCATACTTCATAAAGAATGTTTTCATGCCCATATAGGAGGGTACTTCATAAACAACCTTTGGCTGTTAGCATATCAGAATATGCCTGGTCTATATGAGCCTTTAGCATACGTTCTGTGTATAATTTTAAAAATATATTGCCACTTTATTGGTTTAATAAAGATACCTGATTCTAATCATTGGATTAGAAAGATGCTTTATCAAATAATGTAATATAAAGGTGAATCACTACC